CTGTCGCCCCCACCCGGTTCTTGTGCTGGGGGACTTCAACGCCTGGTCGCAGGCTTGGGGTTCCCTGCGCACGAACCCGAGGGGCAGGGCATTGGAGAACTGGGCTGAAAGATTCGGCCTAGTTCTCCTAAACCGGGGGGCCGTGGCCACGTTCGTGACGGCGAGGGGTAGTTCGATTGTGGACATCTCGTTCGCATGCCCCTCGCTAGCGCGTCGTGTCCAAGGCTGGCGCGTCGTTGTCGGGGAGGAGACAGGTTCGGATCACCGATATATTCGGTTTGACGTCTCCGCCCCTACAGATGGCGCGCCGGTCAGACCGGCACCACCTGAACCACGTTGGGCGCTCAAGCGCTTAGATCGCGACCTCCTCCTGGAAGCCGCCATCGTACAGGCCTGGGCTCCTGCGCCGGACAGGCCTGTCGACGTCGATGATGAGGCACAGTGGTTCCGGGAGGCCATGACCCGCGTCTGCGATGCGGCGATGCCTAGGGCTCAGCCTAATACTGCGAGGCGCCAGGTCTACTGGTGGTCGCCGGAGATCGCACGGCTGCGTCAAGCCTGCGTGACCGCGCGCCGCCAGTGGTCCAGGTTCCGCAGGAGGCGTCGCCGCCCCGAAGATGCGGCAGCGAGAGAGGCGGAGCTGTTAGCGGGTTACAGGGTTGCCAAGAGGACCCTTCAGGCAGCGATAAAGCGGGCCAAGAGCGAGGCCCGCCGCGAGATGCTGGAGACACTGGAGCGGGATCCGTGGGGACGCCCCTACCGTATGGTTAGGGGCAAGATGCGCCCATGGGCCCCGCCGCTCACACGGTGTCTTCAGCCAGAGCTGCTTGAGAGGGTCGTTGGCTCCCTGTTCCCAACGCGAGTGGTGGAGCATACTCCGCCACAGATGGCTCCGCCTCCGGCGCTTGAGGCGCCTAACGTGGATGACGACGACGTGCCTGAGGTCACTGGGGTGGAACTAAGGGTGGCGGTGTTACGGCTTAAAGCCAAAAACACCGCCCCGGGACCCGATGGCATTCCTGGCCGAGCGTGGGTCCTGGCCTTAGTCGACGAGGCTCTCGGGCCCCGACTGCGAGGGTTCTTCAGCGCATGCCTCGAGCGGGGCCAGTTTCCGAAATTGTGGAGGACGGGGAAACTGGTCCTCATCCGAAAGGAGGGGCGCCCGGCGGACTCACCGTCCGCCTACCGGCCCATAGTGTTGCTTGACGAGGTGTGCAAGCTCTTTGAAAGAGTGATTGCAAGGCGCCTCGTCAAGCATCTCGTGATGGTTGGGCCGGATCTGGCGGACAACCAGTACGGTTTCCGTCAGGGGCGCTCCACCGTGGATGCGATCATGCGCGTGAAGGCTCTGGCAGAGGAAGCAGTCTCCCGGGGCGAAGTGGTGTTGGCGGTGTCCTTGGACATCGCCAACGCGTTCAACACTATGCCCTGGAGCTGCATCAGGGAGGCGCTCGTGTATCACGAAGTGCCTCTCTACCTCCGCCGCATAGTCGGGGCATATTTGTCGGAGAGAGCCGTCGTCTACCCCAGTAGGACCGGTCTCGGTAGGCGTGAAATGTCGTGCGGTGTTCCGCAGGGGTCGGTGTTAGGGCCACTCTTGTGGAACATCGGCTACGACTGGGTGCTTCGTGGTACCTTCTTGGATGGTGTCGCCGTCGTGTGCTACGCGGACGACACACTCGTGACGGCGCGCGGCAAGACGCACCACGAGGCAACCCTGAGGGCCACGGCCGGGGTTGCCCAAGTCGTTGAGCGTATCCGGCGGCTGGGTCTTGAGGTGGCTCTGCACAAGTCCGAGGCCCTGTTCTTTCACGGGCTTCGGAGGAAGCCGCCTGAGGGATCTAGCCTCACGGTAGGAGGCACTCGCATCGGCATCGAGCCCTCGATCAGGTATCTGGGGCTCGTACTCGATGGCCGATGGGACTTCGGATATCATTTCCGAGGTCTGGTCCCCAAGTTGGTTGGGGCAGCGCGTGCGTTGGCGCGGCTGCTGCCCAACATGAAGGGACCCGATGACTCCTGCCGGAGACTCTACTCGGGGGTTGTGCGGTCCATGGCCCTTTACGGGTGCCCAGTATGGGCGGGGGCCCTGAAGGCCAGCAACGTCGCGATACTGCGGCGACCGCAGCGAATGCTGGCCATCAGGATCATAAGGGGGTACCGCACGATCTCCTTCGAGGCGGCGAGTCTCCTGGCCGGAACTCCACCGTGGGACCTGGAGGCGAGAGCCCTTGCAGCACTGTATCAGTGGCGCAAGGAGGCGCAGGAGTTGGGTCGATACCCCGAGATTCGAGAAATCGATGACCGGAAATCCCAACTCCGCCAGGTCATCATAGGGGAGTGGAGGGAACGACTCGGGCAACCGAGCGCCGGGCACGCCGTCATTGCGGCGGTAAGACCCGTTATGGAGGATTGGCTCGAGAGGCGTCACGGGACCCTCTCATACCGATTGACGCAGGTGATCACTGGGAAGGGATGTTTCGGAGATCACCTGTGTCTGATCCGCAAGGAGCCAACGCCTGAGTGCCACCACTGCGATGGCCAGACCGAGGACACGGCTCTCCACACGCTGGCAGAGTGCCCGGCGTGGGTTGAGCAGAGGCGAGACCTCGTGGCGGCCATCGGAGTGGGAGTTCTCTCGCTCGATAGCCTGATTGCGGCTATCGTGCGGAGCGAGAGTGCGTGGAACTCTGCCGTCTCCTTCTGCGAGCAAGTTATGCTCGCGAAGGAGACGGCGGAGCGGGACCGGGAGAGGTTTAGAACTCTCCCGGCCCGCCAGGCCCGTGCCCGGGCCAGGCAGCGCAGGCGACTCAGGCGCCGGAGGTCGCAGAACGACCTCCGTCCTCCATAAGCGCAGGCCTGGGGGTGACAGGTGAGGCCATCTGTCACCCTAGCAGAAGCAGGCCGGGGAGGCGGCGAGCGCGTTGCGAAGCGCGCTCGCTTCCAGGGAGCACAGGGAACATGGGGTTCCCACACGGGGCGGGGGTCGTCTACTCGTCTGTAGATGACCCGAGGTATGTCGGGGCACCAGGGCCTTCCTTTCTAGGGTATACCTGGTTCCCCGGCTATTAGTACCCGGCGAAGGCGTGCGGTTTTAGTCGGTTCGAGTCCGACATGCCACCGACAGGTGGTATCCGAGGGGATTTCCGCACGAAAAAAAAAAAAAAAAAAAAAAAAAAAAAAAAAAGGCAATTTTCCATACTTTTATTCACTGTGTGAACCCCTGCGTTCTATATGTCAATTATTACTTGCACCGCACTTTGTGTATGCTCTGCATATCTTTTACAATAAAACACATCTTAGTGTATTCAGTGTTTTTATTGTTTTTTAACCCATAAATATCAACCGACCCCTCCTAGCGACCGAGTGCAGGTACCTTCCGAAGCAACCGTGTCCGGAAAGCACCTGCGGCAGTCGGAAGGTAAGGGTCCCGTGCTGCCGCCCTGCCCACTCGGCGATGACCGGCTGGAGAGCCTCCACGGCGGCGAAGCCAGCGGGTGGAGTCTCCAGCCGGAACGACCAACGAGCCATCGTGGCTCGGCGAGCGGCTTCGCGCCACTCGCGCACGTCTTCGGGCGGAGGGCGAAATCCGCTCTCCGCCCGGGAGTCAGCCACTCGCCGATTAACTTCGGCGAGCACTTCCGCCTCCAAATCCCACGGGGGAGTACCGGCCAACGCGCAAGCCACCTCCGTCGAAACGGTGCGGTAACCGCGTATGGCTTACCCGCCAATACCCTCTGAGGGCGCACAGAGGCGTGCCCTATTCTGGGCGATCAGAGCCGCCGCCCACACCGGTGCACCGTATAGTGCCATTGACCGGACTACCCCCGTGTACAGCCGTCTTGTCGCGTCGCTGGGTCCACCCAAATTGGGCAAGTCGCCCTAGGGCAGACGCAGCGCCGATCAGCTTTGGAGCAAGCTGTCGGAAGTGCTCGTCGAAGAGCCACCTCCCGTCGAGGATCAGGCCCAGATATTTCATCTGGGCCCGAACCGGTACGAGGACCGAGTTGACCACGATTGAGGCGCCAGGGGGTGGACCACGACGGGGCCAATGAAATAAGAGAGCCTCCGTCTTATCTAGGGCCACCCGTAAGCCCAGCGCCTCAATGCGCCCGACCACCAGGGAGACTCCCCTTGTGGCCAGGCGCGCCGCCTCTTGGAAGTTCCCCCCCGGGCTGTCACCAGAGTATCATCTGCGTAACAAATTACACCCAGCCCGGGGGGGAAATCGGCTCGAAGGGCCCAGTCGTACCCTATGTTCCACAAGAGGGGTCCAAGAATAGACCCCTGTGGAACACCGCACGACATGGGCCGACCCCTCGAATTACCATCTCGGTCCTCGTACACGACGGTACGCTCCTCTAAATAGTCTGCCACTAGCCGCCTCAGGTACTTTGGCACCCCATGATAGTGGAGTGCTTCCCTGATGCAGCCGAATAGCAGACTATTGAATGCGTTGGCGATGTCCAATGACACCGCCAACAGCACGCCGCCACAGCTCACGGCCTCTTCGGTCACGGCCCTCAGGCGCAAAACAGCGTCGACTGTCGAACGCCCCGCCCGAAAACCAAATTGGGCGTCCGACAGATCGGGGCCCACCTCGTAGAAGTGCCGGACGATGCGGGCAGAGAGAACCCTCTCAAACAATTTACTCGCCTCGTCCAGCAGCACGATGGGCCTGTAGGCCGCGACCGAACCGACAGGCCGTCCCGGCTTCCTTAATAGGACCAGCTTCTCGCTCTTCCAGCACTCAGGGAAACGTCCCGACGCCAAGCTAGCGTCGAACACCTCCCCGAGGCGGTCTGCCATGTGGTTGAGGGCTAGGGCCCGCACTCGGGCCGGTACCCCGTCTGGCCCAGGGGCGGTGTTCTTGGAACGGATCCGTAGAACAGCCGCCCCTACCTCCGAATCCCGGATGGGCGGTAGTTAGTTACATTCTGTAACCTTTATTCAAGTATATAAAACTGTGTAACCTACTGAAACCAATATTCTATACTCACTTGAGGTGGGATTGAATCATGAATCGGTTGACTGAGCCACTTCTGACATTTTGGCATAGATTCAATCCTCGATCTGAGTTCATCATGATGACCCTCTTTTAGCAGGCTAAGAAAGTGCAGCATTAGGGTTGCCACTTCTGAAAATCAATAAATTTTTAAATAGTTTTCTCTTTTTTTCCATATTACAAACAGACTGCTATATAAATTGTTTTACAAAACTAGCAAGCCCTTCTCAATCATATATATATGATAATATTTCTAAAAATACCTTTTGGTGAATCATCATGGCACACAGTTTCAAATTCCTCATCCATGAGGTCCTCTATAACTTCTGTGAGGTCATCTCTATCCACAACATTCTCAACACAGTACCGTGTTAGGTACACAGACATCAATTGTGCAGTCTGTAAAATAAATAAAATATTAAAGTTATATATATATAAAAGAAGAAACTGACAGACTGATTCACTGACTGATCCATCAACGCACTGCTGAAACTGCTGTGTCTAGAAGCATGAAATTTTGCATAGATGTTCCTTAGATGACATAAAATTTACTAGGAAAGTATTTTTGAAAATTACACCTATTTTACTATACTATTACAGTTGTTAGTTTTTTCTCATCAACAGCTTATAATAGTCCATTGCTGGACATAGGCCTCTCCTCCTTGGTATAGGGTTTGTTTCAAGTTTTAATTCTCTTTGCAGTGTTGTTGTCCTGCGTAGTTTGCTCCCTTAGTCGGCTCTTACGACACTCACGGGATAAATAGGGGTGGTGACATTCGGTATTCTTAATCCTTCACCACACGGACTATTTTTTTTTAAACTACCCTTAATAAGGTATGTAAGTTAATATGGGGAGCTATATATTTTTAAAACATTTGTTGTTTGTTACTCAATCATGCCAAAACGGCTTGCCGGATCTGAACGAGATTTGGCACATAGATAGATTATTTTCTAGAATGGCACAAAAGTTACTATACATATTTCCCGGTCAAATTTATAGTCAAAATTGACATTTACGTAAGCAAAGCTGTTGGCAGATGCTAGTACCTAATATCAGTGTTAAGGTTGTCTGTAAGAAATTGCCATGAGCGATAAGACTGCTGATTCTTATGCCTACATATTAAAAAAACGAAAATTAAAATTAATTATTTGGAGAACTAAGAAAGTTACAAAAGTGCTTAAAAAACCGGTCAGGTACGAGTCGAACTTGTGTGCCGAGGGTTACGATCTACCCAGATTTTACGCGAAAATTTGTAAGTACCAAAATTATCTTAATTTTCAACTTTTCTTATTTTTTTGAAATTATTCCTTTACTTGTGCTGTACAGTAACAGGAACTACCATATAGAGTTTCAACCCTAAACCTACAGGGTACTTCCGGTTGACCTAGAATTGTCAATTTTGGTTAAAAGCAAGTAAAGACAAAATTCTGAAAAATAAAAAAGTTGAAAAATCAGGTAAATTATGGTACTCGAGTTTTTGCGAAAATCAAAATTTGACCATATCTTTTTATAGTGTTGACTCAGGACCTTGATTTTTATACACCTAGTAGGGACCATAGACCTCAGTATCTGGTATAAATTTCAACTTGCTAGGTCTACCCCTTTCTGAGAAAATTGGTGGTGACACACGGACAGACGGACAAGAAAGTGATCTTATAGGGGTTCCTTTTTTACCTTTTGCCATGTGCTAAGGGAATACAATAAATAAATAAATCAGGTTACATCAGTCATTAAAAGGTAAAATATTTTTTTAATAAATTTAGTCATTACTTTCTTAAAAAAATTGGAAAATTTAAATAACACCAGAATATCTAATATAATAGACACAGATGGATTATAGTCACCAATAGCATATCAGCTATATTTCATATATGGCAACAGTGTTTGATAAAATCAGTAATAAAAAAATTGCAAAAACTTGTAAATTCATAACAATAAGTACAACCAAGTTTTAATCCAAATAAAATAATAAAAAATGAAATAAAATTTATTTTCAAAATCAGAATCAAGTCTAGGTTACATTTTGTATATGATTTCCATCTTATTGTCATTAGATTCTTATTTAAAGTTTGTTACTAAAGCTAACAACTATTCCAAAATGTGAAAGATTGCTTGATAAAGAGATAAAAACAAAATATTTATTTTTCGCTTTAGTTTTGTTCCTCATTTGTCATCAATGCTACACAGCGAACTGTGGCAGGGTACAGCAAATTATTATAGAAAATGATAATTGAAACTATAGTCTACATGAGGAATTCATTACACAGCCTCGAGAAATTAATTTCAAACGAGCAACAGCAATGTTTATCCTAGCCAAAGAGTATGTAAATCCATGGGTTTAATTATACGCTTACTTTTTCGCCACCAGGTGCTCCCATCCCATGTTCGACAGCCAGCTGCAATGCTGTCCAGTTGTTTAGTACCAAATCTACAATGGGCTTGAAATCGTCGTACAGCATTTTGACCTTTTTTCAATTTAACTTATTTAAAAAACATTGATTGGGACACTGCGCATTTTTATAACCTCTTGACGAGTTGACGTGAAACAGAACCACAGACAGGTTTCTAATGTTTTATCTATGATAAGTGATAACTATATACAAGTCAGATATGAGAGAAACAGAAGTATAGAGATGAGACATAATGATAGTGAACTGTGAATGAACGATAATTTTTCATTCGATTTTTTCGTACATAGGTTAGGGTTACTACTTACTCATGCGTTGTTGCCAATAAGCTGTTTTCAGACGATACATATTAATACATAAAGACCCTATTTCGACTATTTAACAGTAAATCTCGTAATACCATTCTCTACATAATACTTAAAAAAATATTTGATTTACAGTTATATAGCGTCTAACCTACCTACCTACCTAGCAACCCTTACCTACTTAAACAAATCACATTTCACTGTGATTTTGTCCCATATCTGACACCATAGAAAGATAAGCATAGTTTTGTGGTTGCCTGGGAAAAGAGAGAGTTTATCCACATTACTCAACTCTAAAGGTCGTAGCCAAGATTCAGCTATGATCTTCTCGGTGAGGTTTTTTCATGCCCATACGGTTATTATCACGATACCTATTCCTAAAAACCAGTTTAAATAGTTTACCCGTGTGGGTTTTTCTAAAAGAAAAAATATCCCAAAAACGCCCTATATACACAGCTACCTTTTAGTAAAATTTTATTAAAATCAGAACAGGAAATTTTACCCTTTTTTTTTCCGTGCGGAAATCCTATCGGATACCACCTGTCTGTGGCATGTCGGACTCGAACCGATTAAAACCGCACGCCGTCTCGGGTACTAATAGCCGGGGAACCAGGTATACCCTAGAAAGGAAGTCCCTGGTGCCCCGACATACCTCGGGTCATCTACAGACGAGTAGACGACCCCCCCCGTGTGGGAACCCCATGTTCCCTGTGCTCCCTGGAAGCGAGCGCGCTTCGCAACGCGCTCGCCGCCACTCCGGCCTGCTTCTGCTAGGGTGACAGATGGCCTCACCTGTCACCCCCAGGCCTGCGCTTATGGAGGACGGAGGTCGTTCTCCGACCTCCAGCGCCTGAGTCGCCTGCGGTACCTGGCCCGTTCCCAGGCCTGGCTTGCCGGGAGAGTCCTAAACCTCTCCCGGTCCCGCTCCACCGTCTCCTTCGCAGTATAATTTGCTCGCAGAATGAGACGGCAGAGTTCCACGCACTCTCGCTCCGCACGATAGCCGCTATCAGGCTATCGAGCGAGAGAACTCCCACTCCGATGGCCGCCACGAGGTCTCGCCTCTGCTCAACCCACGCCGGGCACTCTGCCAGCGTGTGGAGAGCCGTGTCCACGGTCTGGCCATCGCAGTGGTGGCACTCAGGCATTGGCTCCTTGCGGATCAGACACAGGTGATCCCCGAAACATCATTTCCCAGTGATCACCTGCGTCAGTCGGTATGAGAGGGTCCCGTGACGCCTCTCGAGCCAATCCTCCATAACGGGTCTTACCGCCGCGATGACGGCGTGCCCGGCGCTCGGTTGCCCGAGTCGTTCCTTCCACTCCCCTATGATGACCTGGCGGAGTTGCGATTTCCGGTCATCGATTTCTCGAGTCTTGGGACACCGACCCAACTCCCGCGCCTCCTTGCGCCACTTATACAGAGCCTCCAGGGGCTCTCGCCTCCAGGTCCCACGGTGGAGTTCCGGCCAGGATACTCGCCGCGTCAAAGGAGATAGAAGATTACCCTGAACAAACAGACAGACATACAGACAAATTTTAACAGGTAACAATATTTTAACAGGTTTGAAGAATGATGATAATGTGATGATGATACACATTACTATATTTCTACATTTAAAAAATGACCCTTTTTCTTTTAAATAAAAATCCTTAGAAGACAAGGGTAATTTTTAAATACATTTTCAATAAAGAAACAACAAGAAAATGTCGTTTAGGGAAAGTAGACAGAGACTTTTACGTACACACATTATTTACCTCTCAATCTGTGACAGAGACTAACTAGAGTTATGTTTTATGTCTTCGTCTATGGATTATGATATGATGGCGGTAAATTTTTCCTTCATTCAACCATCATCTGTCTAAAATTTTGTAAACAAAAAGTTGAACTGACTAGGCACAGAGAGAGTATATTGAATAATATTAGACTAGGCAGGCATACACAGAAACTGCAGTAATCATTACTGCACAGCTCTAATAAATATTGTGTAATTTATGTTATCATTGCTGATCAACTTTAGTTTAGTTTTAAGTTAGAAATGACCGAGGATATAAATGTAACTTTTATTATACCGAAGGATTGCGAGAGTGAAAATGAATGTTCAGAAGAAATGCAACTTGCTTTCGTTGTAAGTTTGATTAACATTATAACAGGGATTTAGTGTACACGAGAACAATAAATACTGGATTGAGAAAAGATCTGAATCACATTTATGGGTTTATCTGTAAATCTGTAAGATTAGATCTTAGATATAAATAAAATTTAGATATAAATGCAATGTTATGTTATGGTTAAGTTGTTATAATGATGTGATTGAGCCACCAGTGGTGACGGATGAAGAATACGGAGTGTCACCACCCCTATACATCCCTTGGGTGTCGTAAGAGCCGATTAAGGGAGCAAATTACGCAGTCAACAGCACTCAAAAGAGAAGGAAAACTTGACACTAACTATACCAACCCGTCTGGCCATCGTGGTATAGTAGGTCAAACCTCCTTTCTAAGGAGAGGCCTATATCTAGCAGTGGACTATTAAAGGCTGTTGATGATGATGAGCCACCAGACTTCTTTTTTGGTCATATAAAATAATATTTCTCAAAATTGAACTTTAGCTTTTCATAATGATATATGGTGTACATGTTATGATTCTAGACATGTGAGCAGCACTGCGGTGGTGGTCTTCAAGCAAAATGGGTTCATGAAGCTGAATGGAAACAATTTGAAGGCCTTACAAAAAGAGATGTGTTTGTTCTAGCCGAATTTGAAGGTGATCTTTATGAAAAATTGCACAGGACCAAGTGTTTGTAAGTTTATCTGTATTAAAAAAATAATATTTACGCTTAAAAAACACTTTTATGCTTTAAAATCTCAAAAAGTTCTCCATGAATCAAGCTGAAATCTTGACATGAAATACAAACTGATTCACGGATTGTTTTTACCTATTTTTTGCATTTTGTTCCTCCTTTCTCTTCAAAGGAACAACAATATGCCATAGCGAAGCAAGGTATGGTAAATCCAGTCACTTATAAATAAAACTTAAAATGTTGACTTAAATGTCTGTATTTTACGAAAACAATAACAATAGTAATTATAACCCATTATTGCATCTTAATAAAACTAGCTACGTTAATTACCTTTTGACTGAGTTGTTGATCAAGTCAACAGCAACAGCCTTCAATAGTCTACTGCTGGACTGCTGGTTTTGCCCTACTATACCAGGCTGGCTAAATGGGTTGGTAGAGGGTTTGTGTAAAGTTTTCCTTCTCTTTGCAGTGCTGTTGTCCTTCATTGTTTGCTCTTACAACACTCACAAGATTAATATGGTTGGTGACACTCTTTTTTTTCAATCCGTCACCACACGGACAATTTATGTGAGGCGTCTCAGGATACTATTATATATAAATTATTATCACTGGTGTTCCAGACTTAAAATCGCAGTTAAAATCTATTTTGCAAAATAATATACCTCAACCATTATAAAAAACAGTGCATATAAGTTACAGTAATTTTGAAAGAAGGTACTTACAAGCCCTAAGATTATATTTTTGTGCCGATATTAAACAACTGCATTTACCAGCTTATAATAATAATTTACTCTGTCACACAAAAGGTGTCAAAGTAACCGGGTAGTATTGCCAGTGTAACCAGGAACCTTGGGAATTAAAATAGTGGAAAAATTGAGTACACAAACAATGTAGTCAAGAAAAAAAAAAACAACTATTTGATTCCTTCTAGGAAATGTTTTTTTTTTTACTTTTTTGTAATATAAAAACCTCCTGACTTATGTTCTCAGATTGGTGGGTCCCCGGTGCTTATCATGCTGTTTAACAGAAGGCACTCCGATACCATCTGGTCCAGAGCCAGTATACACAATAGCTATGAGAGGCTTGGTGGTCACAGCTAGTGGATTATCAAAACAACAGAAGGTAAAAAAATATTTTATAAGTTTTTTAACAGAAATGAGGGTTTGTGCAATGTTAGGTTCATATTTTCTTCTTTTCTTTGTATATAGATGTATTGCTACACATGTTTTCCTTACATTGAATCTTGAGATTGTCAGAGAACCTTGGGTTTGATACCCACCCAGTACCAATAATTATCTGATATTTATTTATGAAAATTACACCCAGACAGAACTGATGATCAGTTCTGTGCCTGTGTGAGGGACAGCTAGTGCTCATATAAATATTTATATAATACTTGTTTGCAGGAGGAGATAAAAAAGAAAGTACATTGGATGGGGGGACTATACCGCACAGTGTTGACAGACGACACTACGCATTTAGTGTCAGACACGGTTCTTTCTGACAAATATGTTGTAAGTAAAAATCTAGCACTATCACCTACTTCTGTTTCTTATGAACATGCTCTATGCCATCTATTTACCGTTATGTCTAAGTACTATGTATTTGTAATCTTAAAGTTATATATTTGAATTTGACCAGCTTTTGACCCTGGTTTTGGACTCACAACTTTGGTTCCCTGGACTGACAACAGAGTGTAAATTACTCCAGGAAAAATCAGCTATCTACCAATTCCAAACCGTTTATTCAGTTTCGTCAATCTACAATAACCTAAATTAAGTAAAAAGCTGATATATATACATATGTCTATAAATGAAGAGACTGATAGACTGAGACATTGACTGATTGATCAATGCACAGCTGCAACCGCTGGGGTTAGAAGCATGAAATTTTGCACAAATGTTCCTTAGGTCACATAGATGGGCACTAAGAAAGCATTTTAAAAAATTTCACCCCTAAGAGTGCAAAATGGGGGTTGGAAATTTATATGAAACTTCGTTATTTTTTGGTAGTGGCGTATTCCCTACTACGATGTCTGATGTCAACCGCCACGCGGACGGAGTCGCTGGAAAAAGCTAGTATAATCTAAAAGTATAAAACAATTACACTATAAACCTCCTTGGTCCATCATCAGACCATTGTTACTTAACTCTATTTGTTGGACTGGTCAGAATGAATCACAGAGGCCAAATTCTAGGGGTACTAGTAACCACTAAATACTTCTATCACCCCCCTTCTGACTGCATCATCAGATTTGCTCCAAGACGAAAATTTCAATACGGTAGCTTGTAATTGTATTTATAGTTTTTTTAAATAGTTATTTGCAAGTTAATTACTAGAAAAAAAAACGACACTTTCTATAATGACGAATCTAACGACACCTCAGAAGCCAAAACCATCAAGCTGTTTATCCTGCAGAAGGAAGCCAAAAGCAGCCGCAGTCAGATAAAAAACAGGTTTTATAGAATAGAATAGAACAGAATAATCTTTATTTTACACCAATTCAGGATATTATACATACAATATTACTCCAAGTTAATGACCATGTACAAATGGCGGCCTTATTGCTAAAAAGCAATCTCTTACAGGCAGGTTATATGTATCTCACCAATATTAATAATCCCACAGAAATCAGTTGAAAAAGGCATACCAGTTATGAATATATCCTGGGTTGAAGCCGTTTGGGACACATCACTACGTCTCAATGTAAGCGGTAACTCGCCCGACTTCCTTGTACACCGGCTACCTCCCTTCACTAACCTTCAAGTGACTACCTCTGGCATAACTAAGAAAGAGAAGCAGATGATTATGAAACTTGTAAATGAACATGGCGGCTCATTCTCTGGGGCATTCCAGAGTGAGACTACTGATGTTGTTGTTTTGACAAAGTAAGTTTTTTTAATTTATACCACATTCACCATCTTGTCCCGAACTAACAGAGCTTGTACTATGGGTACTAGACAACTGACAAAAATACATACATGTAAACTTTGTTTGTTTGTAAATACTTACATATCTTGGCAGATAAATGTTTGATTCGAGCGGGAATCTAACCCGAGATCTTTGGCATAGCAGTCCGTTACACAAACCACTACGCCATCCGGTCGTCTAAGACATACTTGTTCTTACCTATAAGTAAATAACATACTTTAAGTTACTTATAGGTATGAAAACAATCGAAAGATTTGACTTACAATAAGACACGATGACACACAGATACACATGTTCAATTTACAAAACCCTTCTTTTACGCGAAATGCTCCTTTATAGTCAAATACTTACCTTAAAATTTCAACTTTTTACATTATTTGTGTATACTTTGTATAAAGTTCAAGATGTATAGATTATGTGACATTTCGATTTCAGAGAAGGTATAGGCAGTGAGAAATACAAAGCTGCACTGGAATATGGCAAGGCTATTGTTCTACCTGCATGGGTGAAGGACTCTGCTGAGAAGGGGGTTGCCCTACCACTGGTTAAGTATAGAGTGGTTGGTGCATCCACATCGTCTCCACTCGCAGAGTCAAAACTACCTGATATGAGTAAGTTGGTCCTTTATTTTAATTTTCTTTTTTGTTTTTTTTAGGCTTTAAACTACTATCTTAGCAATTTGTATAAAAATAAACACTTGCCATAGATTAGATTTTTTTATTGAAAGATGAAAAAGGCTACAGAGTGTAAAAGTGTTTACGTAATCCTGCAACACCAAACAATTACGAGCTTCCTTAGTCTCTCTCTAATGAAGAGTGCTCTATAAAACTGAATTAATACTCAAAATATCATACTATACCGAAATTCTAAGCACTTGATCAAACACACGTGTTAAAATCTCTCTTTTAAAAACATACAGCAGGTACTAATTATTTTCATAGATAGTTCCATAATATTTTTACTGTACTAGCAAGAAGCGGTGCTTTAGGAGGACTTGCAAAGTATTCGCGATTGATTGCCAATTACTCATTATTTATTTGTGCTTAAGCAAGAAAATCCGACGTAATGCAGCGATAATAATTATTTAGTTTTGTAACAGATGGCGTTAGTTTTAAGTCCAATTAATAAAATATTACACATGGCTTATTAGTTTTAGAATGTATATGTATAAAATAATATTTTTATGACGGATAACACATGTAGATATGATTTGAAATTACCATGCCCAAGCCCAAACCTGAACGTGTGACTGTTTCTCAGTAAAGTGCACCACCAAAATGCATAGATTGTGGGAGAATTTTAGAGCTCGCATTGCTCGTCCTGATTATATAATTGGTCTTTTGGTTATTTTCAGGTTTAAATTTCTCGCGGATAACGAATCTAAGGCCGCCAAGTAATTTCGTGGATGAGACCAGGTCAGCGGATGTATCCGTCATGTCGGGGAAAGTCAAGGTAATGTATATAATCAGTGTAGCCGTTGCTAGTTTTTTCTGCATCGCCTGAGAACGTAACTGTGCCGTCTTAAATAAACTTTAGAGGATTTTATTAAAGACGAAGAATGATGTCTATAATATACATAAAGATAGATACCTCTTTATTTGCACACCTTTTACAAGTATTATGGTACATAAAAATTTCAGACATGTAATTTACAAAGGGCGGCCTGATTGCTAAGAGAAATCTCTTCCAGGCTATCATTTACTATTAGGCACTATAGGCAGATATTCAGATACATTTAAAAAAATTAAGCAATTTTGAATCATACATTTGGTTTAGGCATTTGATGAATAAGTACAGTTTTTTTTTAATATTTCAGTTAACACAAGATGCTAAGAAGGGTGACACATCTGTCGATAAAGAAGTGGTGACTGCTTTTGAGAATCTAGACATGAGTCTCATCAAGAAGGCTGGACCTATATTTGATGGGTTTTGTGTGAGTCTTACATATTTTTAATTGGTTGTTGTTTAATTATATATATTTTTTCTTTTTTAAAAGATAACTCACACACTACAGTTTGTCCGTCATATTGCACACATTACACATCCCCCATAAGATTTATGCTTTTGTTATATTTTAAAAGAGTCTCGGTGATGAGTTTATCATGATGACATGATCGATATATATAATAGTTAATTATGTAATAGATATAGGTGGAATTGCATGACATCTTGATCTGGGGGGCTGGTGTGAGCTGGAATATAATAGCTGTGAAATAAAAGCAAACGCGATCGTCGGCGAGAGCGATTTGATGTGAAATAAACTTACACTAGTCTCTTCAGTCTACTGCCACTCGCACCTAACCACACTTGTGTGAAGTGTGGCTAGGTGCGAGTGGCAGTATCGTATCGTTATATTATTATTAAAGCGTGAGCGATAACGGCATGCGTGGTGTCGGTGTCAGATCTGGGTGTCGGGGCTGGAGGGCGCGGCCCGCGAGCGCGCGGCCGCGTGCGTGTCGCGGTGCGGCGGCGTGCGCTACGACTCGGCGCACGCGCGCGTGTCGCACGCCGTGGCCGCCTCGCCCGCCGCCGCGCTCGCCGCCGCCGCCGCACTGCCGCACGTGCCCGTGCTCAGCCCGCTGTGGCTCCTGCGCAGCGTGCGCACGGGGAAGGCCCTGAGCGAGGCGCAGGTCCGTGCTTTTATTGTGTGCTCATCTTACTTTGCGGCGTGAAGCTTATGTCCAGCAGTGGACTATTAAAGGCTGTTGATGATGATGTTGATGATGATGTTAATGATGTGAAGCGTTTCACACTATTTTGAAACGACCCGATTTTTATAAAAATAATTCGTTATTGTTTTCGTATGTCATCATTCAGTCTTTAATAGTCCACTGCTAGACATAGGTCTCTCCTTAGAAAGGAGGTTTTGGTACAAGGTTTGTTTTAAGTTTTCCTTCTCTTTACAATGCTATTGTCCTGCGCAGTTTGCTCCCTTAGTCGGCTCTTACGACACCCACGGGATGAATAAAGGTGGTGACACTCCATATTCTTATCTGTCACCACACAGACAAGTTTTAATTTTCCTATATATTGCTATCTTTCAAATGTACCATATCACAGTTAGTTATTTATTTTAAGTTACAGCAGAACAATGCAATGCTAAACAGTAGGTTTAAAATAAACGTATGGAGAAATGAAGATTCAATTCGAATTAAAGATCAATGTTAGTCAAAATCATATGAAAAAAAAACAAACAAGCGTACCTTATAATACCGCATAAATTGTGTTATATCTGACACCTTATCATTTTTAATAAGCACTGTTAACATTATAGCCTGCAAAAAAATACGATGTACGCTTAATGGTCAAATTAAATACGACACCTTTCCTGAATTTTATGTTACACATTTCCGTCCCATTTCACAAAATCATTCCCATGACACTGTCTTCAATTGATCAATAAACATATTCTATTTTCTTCTTCGATTTCTTTCTCTCCTCGTCTAAAACCAACCTTAAAACTCGCTAACGCATTTAAAATATGCATGACATATTCATTTTTCAGTTTTTAATAGACACAAAGCCAGGCACGCCGGCCAAGTCGAGTGTCCGCAAACAGAAACTCGAGCCCGCTTCGCCCATGAGCAAGCGGAACTTGGCACTGCTCAGACGCGGCCCGCTCGACCTGCCGCCGCCCACGCCTGACCAGAAAGCCAACACCCCAGTAGAACCACAACAGGACGATCTCGTCAATCATTACCTAAGCCGTGAGTACTATAAATAACACTATGATGAACACAACGGGCCATCAGCGGAACCCTATCTTCCAAGTTACAGGAATACCTAGTTTTGAAGGCAGGGTCTACTTTGTACACCTAATAAAGTTAGAATGTGTTTATTGGATTGTACAATTGTAACAAAGGAATTGAAGTTCAATAAAGTTATTATTATTACTATAAATAACTGTACAACTATTTGAGTTTTTCTTTTATGGTATAGAGGTTCAAACGAGTATATTTAGTAGCACACGGCAGCCGTGGTCTACAAGAATTCATATTCTCAGATTTGCTCGTGCATTAAGTGGACGTTTTGCTTAAGACGAACATTGGCTCTCGCGGCTACTGCGCGTAATAAGTGTACTTAAAAGTGTACATCAATAGATATATTATTAAAAGAAAATTTTCTTTTACTTATTTAGAAGTTGTACCTGAACCAGAAAATGAAAAGAGTCCAGAGCCAGCCCAAAATCGTGAAGTGACTATGCAACAAGAGCCTCCTGACGTCACTGAAGATATGGGTGATGATCCCACTGAAGAGATAGAACAGATATTTAGAGGTAACGTTTTGTTTGACATCCATCGATTCCACAATAATTTGAGAAACGAAAAAAAGTAACTGTCGATGTTCATGGGAAAACTTAGTGTGTACAGAGAAATCATCACACAACACATCAACAGCCTTTAATAGTCCACTGCTGGACATAAGCCTCTCCTAAGAAAGGAGGTTTTGACCTGCTACACCACGCTGACCTAACGGGTTGGTAGAGCGTGTATAACGCATAATGTGAAACTATAAATTGTATCTGTACAATAAAAACTATTTAGGTCTTCTCTTCTGTCAATAATTACTACTACTACAAACAAAATTGTTCATTATTTGGTCCTTCGAGCCATCGTTCGACTGAAATAGTTGACATGAGGTATATATAGAATTGCTCGGTATTGTAGGCGGCTCGACGGTGTTCTTTGTGTCCGTTTCGTGTGTTTGTAAAGTCTCCCGCGACACAGGATATATTACTAGTGCAGTAGTCTCTTTAAAAAAAAAAGTTGATTTCATTAATTGTTAATTATTATGCTCTACTAACTTTTCCTTAGGCTAGTTAATGTTGATTTTGTCAATCAATTTTAAATGGTTTAAAAACTGGCCTGTGTGCCTTTCTCTCTGTGCCCAGTTTCATTTGAATCTGTACACCCGTGATCGAGTACGTTTTAGGGAACGACACGAAGCTAAAATTATACTATCCAAAAAGACATAATATACTACGAGCATACAATTTCGTAGCATATCTTATAACTGGGGTGTCTGTACTTTGTCAGATATGGTGCTGGAAGTGCAAGGGCTGGACGAGGAGGCGTGGGCGGAGCTGGACGCGGAGGTGGCGGCGGCGGGCGGGCGGCTGGTGGCCGCTCCGGCCGGCGCGAGCCACGCGCTCGTGCCGCTCGACTTCGACGTCAGGGACTTGCTCACGCCTACTGCTGACGCTGTCACCGTCTTCTGGCTGGTAACCACTCCCACTCTACTGCACACGTTACGTGTGACGTCAGACCCTTCTTAATCTTGGGGATCTTGTGTCAACTAGGGTGAATTTCCGTGCGTTTAGGCGATTCTGCCATACATATTATAGAAATCAAACATAGCTCACGTAGGACCCGTAATTTTTGTGGCCGTGGTGCTTCCCTGTTTAAAAGGGTGTATGCCCATTTTACTTCATTTTGTCTCCCGCTTTGCTAAGGAGGGAAGTGGATTTACTGTATTTCCAACTCCTCCAATTTTCTTCTGATTAATTTCGTTGCGGGTTCCAAGACAGTTTAATTTCTTCCTGGGACTTCCCGAGTGTCATAACTCGGTGTGTTCGTGGGTCACTGCTGTGGATCCTGGTGTACAGGAGTTACAGTGGTGGGCGTGTGGGTGGGATTAGTCCCAATAAAGACCCTTCTTAACCCTCACGAGGATATAGTCCTATTCCATTCTATCTCTGAATCAAATTTCATACATTCCGTACAACCGTTCTAATGCAATTGAGTTACTAATAGGGGTTTACCTATGAAATTGCCGTTTTGTATGCAATAAGTGAAAGTAATTATTTTTTCAAACTTTTTTATTTCTGTTATTCGAAGTAATCACCCATGCAATCGACGCATCTTTGCCAACGCATTGGCAGTTTATTGATGCCCTTCTTGTAAAAATCAGCTGGACGGGAGGCAACAAACTCTTTAAATGCATTTTGTACTGCCTCTCGGGAATTGATTTTTTTTTTCTAGTGGGTAAAAAATTCAATTCAAATCCAATTCAAAAGTACTTTCACTTATTGCATACAAAACGGCAATTTCATAGGCAAAGATCTATTATATCCATCTATCTATAAGATTTTTTTATATTATACCAGACTTTGTACCATCTATAACTCAATAGAGGATAGTAAGGAGGAACATTTCAGACAAAGATTAAACAACATAACGATTTATGGCGTTGTGGTTTGTGTAACGGACTGTTATTCCAAATGTCGCGGGTTCGATTCCCGCTGAAGCCAAACATTTGTGTGCATGAACATTTAATGTTTGATTTGGTCTGAGTGTTTCTATGTATAATAAGTATGTATTTAAAAAAAATATATATATGTATTTGTATCAGTTGTCTGGTACCCATAGTACAAGCTTTGCTTAGTTTTGGACTAGATGGCGCTGTGTGAATGTGGTAGAATATTATTATTAAAGAAAAGTTCTATAAAACAATTTATTTTAACCATAAAACCCAGTTAATATTTAAAAGTTTCAACACTGCTACAACATCGATATTTTTCATATTTCAGAAAGACTGCCTATCCCAGCAAGAACTAGTTCCTATCCAGTACTACCACAGGCCGGTCCATGTGTCGTGGACGACTGGACCGTTAGCCGGTGTCGTAGCCTCACTAAGTACATACAGCGGCGTTGAGAGAGCTTTTCTCGACGAGCTGGCCAAGTTGTTGGGAGCCACGTGAGTTATATACGTTTTTATAACAACATACTTAAAAGAGATAAAACTAGCGAATTGTATAAATTTTGAAAAACAATGTTGACAAAACCAAGGACTCAGCGGACGTAAAGGCAAATTGCTATCTTGTTAAGCACACTCAGTGATAGTACCTACAAACTCAACTCTCATTTCTCTCACACATCACATCATCACATCAACAGCCTTTAATAGTCCACTGCTGGGTATAGGCCTCCTCTTAGGAGGTTTTGGCCTACTATACCATGCTGGCCAGACGGGTTGGTATAGGGTTTGGGTCAAGTTTTCCTTCTTTATGCAGCGCTGGTGTCCTGCGTTGTTTTGCTCCCTTAGTCGGCTCTTACGACACCCACGGGATGAATTGGGGTAGTGACATTCCGTATTCTAAATCCGTCACTACACGGATACATTTACAAATTCATGTTTTATGAAAACGAATCCTTTATGCACTTGTGCGTGTTTAAAATCTTCAGGCAATAGTGTACCCCCATCTCGAAGGTCGGTAACGGAGTTGTGACTTGTGAGTTGCAGTTGTTCAAGGGTGGCTGTAGTCACTTCCATTCTGGTGATCCGTTTAATCTTTTTGCTCCCTATGAATTTTGATTCCCTTGAGAGTGTCCACATATGCGTTTTTGCGGCATAAGCGGAGGTATCTTTTTTTTATGTCAACTTAGAAGTTTGATTTTTTCACAGCTTCAAGGGACTGTTGACCTGAGTATATGGTTTTTAATTTCAACTCGATATTTCTATACGTTTCGAAGATAAAGGGTCTTGACAGACAGACTGATGGACAACAAAGTGATACTATAAGGGTTCTATGGTTCAGCACACTGGATGCCGCGGCCTCATGCAGAAAGCCGGTGTTATTCAATTCTTTTGTTGTTTTTTATTGAGTGAATGTGATGATGACCAGAGTCCAACCCCACCTTCTGGTGGGGAGGCTGTAAGGACCCACTCGTAACTGCGGTAGCCTGTTTTACGCACTTGTATTGTTATTGCAGAACTCAACTCCGCTTCTGTAGGCGGAACACCGCAAACGCCTTAGCGTCTACACACTTAATCTGTCCGACGGCGACGGGCGACAAGTACCTGGGCGCGCTCAAGTGGGGCCTGCCCGCCGTCAGCGCCGACTGGCTGCTGGACTGCGCTCGGGAAGGGACCAGGCTCAGTGAGCTCAACTATTTGGTTGGGGACACTAAAGGTGAGTACAGTCCAGGCCGATTTCGGAGTTTACTCCTTAAGAATGGATTTATAAGGCTCGGGAAACTCACTCATTTAGTGAAAAACAGCGAAACAAATGGTCAACAGCAGTTTTCTGTGAGACCATTCAGCATATCCAGAATCAGTAACGATTAGTGTGTATTAATATTCGGTCTATGGTCAAAACGTGACCGTAATCTCCCTCTTTTTTTAAAAGACAACTCCGCATTAGGAATTTATCCTGTGTCGCGAGGGACTTTACAAACATACATGAAACGGACACAAAGAACGCCAAGACTCAGAACAACAATTTGTAGATCACACAAAGTGTCGTACTATGTGGGGATCAAACCCACAACACTCAGCGTATTAGTAAGCGGCGTGGCGACCGCTTAGACCACTACGCCATCTGTGCAGTCTCATCAATATTTTTATTTTGAGAAAAAGAAAATATTTGTTACTTTAGTTAAATTCAAATTGTTATTTCAGCCCCCGAAAGACCAATACAAGAAGAAGAAGAAGAAATGCAAGAAGAAGCAGATCCCCCTCCATTGATGGGAGAGGCACCAAGCAACGAGCCGACAGACGACCAATCACACACGACGGACAAAGAGAACGCCATGTTACCGCCCGCGGCTGGCGCCGGACCGCGCCGGGGCTCCCTGCCCAGCGCCCACAGCAGGGAACAGACCCCCAAAGGGAAGATTAATAACGGTATGGATTTTGTCTTACTGTAGAGATATAAGCATAGAGAGAACACGGGATACAGATGCCTGTAAGTGGAAGCGATACAGGCAACGAGGGAGATGGATACCGGATAGTTCTCTGTGTCTCTGTTTAGCTAAGCTGCGATTGGCTATCGTGAAGTGGTTTTGATCGTACGACAGACGAGAGATAAAAAAAAAACCTCAGCCAACCACAGAGCTCGACCAAAATAGATAGAGAGAACTATCTATTATCCTTCTCTTTCGTTGCCTACATTGCAAGATTGGGGATCTTGTTCACTCTATCCTTATCTCTCTCTATGATTTTAGGGGAACAGAACTGGTTACTTAGGTAGGTTGGTGTGGTGCGGTCAATTATTGTTCTTAAAAGGTGTAAGAGGGTAAAAGCTGATTTAAAAAGAGTCGAAAAACAAAAGGCAGACTATAGAAAGGTTGCTTTTTTGTCTATGGCTTTACTCGCTATAAAACAGTTTTGTACGTCAGTTCAATTATCTTTTCCAAAAGCAGTTTATTTTTATATAATATAATAATATATTTATTATTTAGTTAGTTTACTAGCTGACCCTGCAAACGTTGTTTTGCTATTTATATTATATATATATATATATTTTTTAAATTTCTTAAATCCGTTCTTAGCTGACCTCTACTCGGTGAAAAGAATATTCCTACCAAATTTCAAGTCTTTAGCTCTAATGGTTCTATAGTGAGTGACTATATACGTGGAAATCTCTTATATACCTATATATAGATATAATAACATCTACTAAGTTACCTACAACATTGATTACATTATTTATTATAAAGCTACAAGCACTTGGCGGTCCCTACTTGTTAGCTGAATTTAGTGGACTTACGTACTCCGGATTGATCGCACGTGTTATTTCGACTGTGACTCGTGCGCTGTGTGGCGATAGATATTATATTAAATTGAGTATAAAGAAGACAAAAGATGAGGAAAATGTGGCGGAGAAAGTTTTAGGTATGAGAGTTGAAGGGTACAAGAGAAGAGGCAGACCGAAGAAGAGGTGGATGGACTGCGTCAGTGAGGATATGGCTAGGAAGGGAGTAAACAGTGAGATGACGCATGACAGAGTAGAATGGAAAAATCATACATACTGCGCCGACCCCAAATAAAATTGGGAAAAGGGTAGGCAGATGAACGCTGGCAGAAGAAATAATAGTTACGCGTTAGAAATAGAATATTTAATTCACCTTTTTGGTAAATTAAACTGTAGATCATTAATGCTGTGTGTGTTGACTTACACTTTATTGTATTGGAGTAAGAGTTTTAAATGCAGAGTGTGTGGTAGACCCTGTCGCTCAAGAATTGGCTTACATAGCCATGAAACAAAAGTGTATGGTTACAGGACACTAACAGTAACAGACAGTAAAATGATGAAGAGTCGCTATTTCTTTAAATATTTTTGCAAGGTTTTATTTCTGAACTGGTACGTTCTATATGTAAAATGCAGTAGACTCTTATTAAAATTACGATTCATTAACAAAACGGTCGTTCGAATCCATCCAGGATAAGGACATAATCGTACATCATGAATTATGCTCCTTTGATGTTCTCCGTGGTGACGGATTAAGAATACAGAGTGTCACCATCCCTATTCATCCCGTGGGTGTTCTAAGAGCCGACTAAGGGAGAAAACTACGTAGAACAACAGCACTGCAGAGAGAAGGAAAACTTGACACAAACCCTTTTTTTTTTTTTTTAACGTGTGGAAATCCCCTCGGACCGTCACCCCTCCGGGGTTTGCGGCGGGGTGGTGTGTCGGACTCGGACCGACTAACACACGGTGTGCCACTCTGCGCCTGTAATAGGAGGGATCCGGGAACAGCTGTTGTTAAGACATCCGGACCCCTCCTAGCGCCAGCCCGCTCCTGGTGTGGGCTCCGTCTCAATGATTGTTCCTCTCTTTAGGCGACGTCCGGCACACGCGGACGCCGCCCCCTCGCGGCTGGCCAAACTAATGCGGGTGGAGGGGAAACCCACCCCGTCCACCCGCGGCCACACTCAGGGCGGCATGAGGCTGTGATAGGCGGGCCTCCGCCGCCCGGTTCGCCGGCGGCGGATCGGGTCCGAGTGGAGGTCGTCCTCCCGGGCCCTCTCCGCCGCCTCCTTCCGCGAGATTACTACCTCGCAGAAGGTTGCGACCGCGGTAAAACAACTGTCGCTACCGGCCATGGAGCGTACTACGGCCGGTAGCGAGAGATCCACTCCGATGACTGCAGTGAGGGCCCGGCGCTGCGCCGCCCATGCGGGGCAGACCGCCAGCGTGTGCTGGGCCGAGTCCTCACTGCAGTCGCAGTGGTGGCAGGCGGGACTCAGTTCCCTCCTAGCGACCGAGTGCAGGTACTTTCCGAAGCAACCGTGCCCGGAAAGCACCTGCGTCAGCCGGAAGGAAAGGGTCCCGTGCTGCCGCCCTGCCCACTCGGCGATGACCGGCTGGAGAGCCTCCACGGCGGCGAAGCCAGCGCGTGGAGTCTCCAGCCGGAACGACCAACGAGCCATCGTGGCTCGGCGAGCGGCTTCGCGCCACTCGCGCACATCCTCGGGCGGAGGGCGAAATCCGCTCTCCGCCCGGGAGTCAGCCACTCGCCGATAAACTTCGGCGAGCACTTCCGCCTCCAAATCCCACGGGGGAGTTCCGGCCAACGCGCATGCCACCTCCGTCGAAACAGTGCGGTAACCGCGTATGGCTCTGACCGCCATTACCCTCTGAGGGCGCCAGAGGCGTACCCTATTCTGGGCGGTCAGAGCCGCCGCCCACACCGGTGCACCGTGCAGTGCCATTGACCGGACAACCCCCGTGTACAGCCGTCTTGTCGCGACGCTGGGTCCACCCATATTGGGCAAAAGTCGCCCTATACCAACCCGTCTGGCCAGCGTGGTATAGTAGGCCAAAACCTCCTTTCTATGGAAAAGCTTATGTCCAGCAGTGGACTATTAAAGGCTGTTGATGATGATGATGATGATCATGATGATGATGATGTTCTGTATGAGCAAGTGTAGTTATGAGTGAGCCAACTTTAGAATACATTCTCCTTAGAAGCGGAAAGTGAGATGTCGCCCGCATCGCGGTACATAGCAATGGCGCGACAAGGCCTGCTAGGATGTGATTCGCAGGAGACACCCAAGAGAGTCCAGGATCTCAAGGGCGACAAGAAAGAAGGTGAGTTAAATTTAATTAAATTTTAGTGCCTCAGAGAGCACTCTTGGTTCCCATATAAACATTTGTGGCAATCGTTACGGGTAGTTGGTTTGAGCCCTAAAAAGTCTGATTACAGTCTATCTATACTGAACTTTGATATCGCCTAGTACTTGGGTTGTGGAGGTCTGAAGACAGTCGCTCCACGTAAAAAATCGAAGTTCATCCGTGTCCTAGTAGACTGAATGCCGACCCTAATCTAGGTATAATGGCTCTGAGAATGAATTCAATTTTAGAATTGTTATACATTATGCTTAAAAGTAGTAAAGATCTTATTTTTTTATAAAACGTATTTCTTGTTTTCTTGCGCGTTCTTCGACATTAAGATTTTTCAAGTAAATTTTTATTTTTAGCTCAACCATTACTCGTGGTCGATACAATGACTCACAAATACGCATTTATTTATTTTAAATATTACTTTTTGTTTAGGTGTTGAATGTGCTGTAAAAACACCAACTCTTGAAGATGCATTGTCAACACCCAACTTGGTAGGACTTAGCCCCACCACCAGACGTCGTTTGCAAGCTGTACGAAGAGGTGAAATGCCTTCTGATCCAATACGAACACCGAATGATCCTTGTAAGTGGTGCATACTTTCCTTGAAGTGCTAGGGAAGTTTAGAAATCTAGTTCAGAATTTCATCTTCGGCATACCCTGACCAAAGCAATGTTTTCTTTCTGTCCATCCATCATTCCATTTAAGTTTAAATAGGTTTAATTAATTTTCTGTTTTTAATTTTCAATGTGCCTTGTTGTTTGTCATTATGGACTTGCCTTTACTATGTAAGTAGCATCCAATTATACACAGCTTTACTAAAAAAAAATAGTTTCACTCCGGGAGTGCCGACAGAAGTGAATACCTGAATACAGAGGTCGGTAACGGTAAAAGTGTCGCGAGTTCATTTTTTTTTCATCTCAAAAAATGGCCAACGCGCCCAAAGAAGTTTTCACTTCAACAGAGGTGTCGGTAACGGTAACAGTGCTGCGAGTTCAATCGTTCTTTCCCATAAAATACTTGTTTGATTTGACGCGCTTAAAGAAGTTTTGACTTCAAAAATATGGGTAGAACGCTTAATACATCTTCACTTACCACTCGAGGGATGCAACCCTGTGTATATATGTTGGTCCTGCCAGTCGAGAAGAACGTGTCGACTCCGGACAGCGCGTTCGGGTGCGCGCTGCGGCCCGGCTCTGGGCGCATGTCGCCCGAGGCCAGGAAGCGCCTCTGGAGCGTCGTGCACCAGCTGCCCAGCCGCCACCACGACCCGCCGCGCGACACACATACGGTATGCTTCTCTATATTTTATCTTAACTTACACGCATGCTCTCAACCGAATATGTTAGCTAGTGTTTGCCCGCAGGTCCGCCCGCGTGTATGTCCATTACGGCGGTAATAATTGTCTTTTCCCTCGATTCCGCTCGCATGTATGTCGGTAAAAAATGGTAGGCATATGTTACTCGCTGATAATATAGCTTTCCTTTGGTGACAGAATTTTTAAAATCGGTTTCATGGTTCAAACGTGAAAACAAAACAAACAGAAACGAACACTTTTACATTTATAATAAAGATATATTAATAATAATTCATTTATTCCAGAGACAGAGTCCCATAATTATTACAAGAACATGTGATTCATAGAACAAAAAAATACAGAGATGATAATAAATACGACTACATTAATTTCAAATAATAATTAAAATCATAACAATATTCCACACAATACAGATATAAATATAATTAAATACTTATTTAAATTTAATTAAAAACTTAAAATAAAATATAAATAATTAAAATCGGGTAAAAATATAGATGTCTTAAAACTGTTTTATCATTACTAGCTTTTAAACTATCACATTCCATAATATACTTATAATAATGTTCACGGAAAATAATCCTCTCACGATAGGTATTAATTACATACCTTTGAAATGTCTGAAGTTTCGACCACGTAGCTAGGCCGTGATCACAGGCTGATCGACCTGATAGACAGCCTGTGACCGCAGCCAGTGCACCTTAGTACCTATCGCGAGCTCGGTCATCCTACAAACATAATTATACTAGTTCTATATAAAAATAATTCCACAAATCTCACACACGGCCGTCTGATCACAATCTAGGCAGAGCCTGTACTATGGTAACCAGACTGCTAATAAACATACTTATATATTTCTAAATACATAAATAATATAAATAAATTACACCCAGACACAGAACAAATGATTGTGCTCATCACACTATTATTTGTCCTGGGTTTGAATCGAACCCACGACCTCCGGCTTAGCAGTCAGGGTCACTAACCACTAGACCAACAGGCCCGCCAAGTTCTATTATTGACTGGTTAGTAGTAATATTTATTATAAATTTTGTTTGTTTGCAAGCGGCTACGTTTGAAAAAGACAAAAGGCTGTGTAGTAAGTACAACCTAGTACATTTAAGTTTTTTTTTATAAAACCCGTGTGGTGACGGATTAAGAATACGGAATGTCACCACTCCTATTCATCCCGTGGTTGTCGTAAGGAAGCTAACTACGCAGGACAACAGCTCTGCAAATAGAAAAAAAACTTAACCTATCCGTCTGGCCAGTGTGGTATAGTAGGCCAAAACCTCCTTTCTAAGGAGAGGCCTATGTCCAGCAGTGGACTATTAAAGGCTGTTGATGTATTGTTTATAAAACCTGATATATTATGGTGAACAAGAATTATCGTCCTGCGCTTTTCCATTTTTTTCCGTTCTGGTGGGGTCAATGTGTAATAATTCTAAGAGTTTTGGGTGGTTTCTTTAATGGCGCGTTTGGCGTTGCGATTAGTTTAGATTTCCGTGTGGACCAATGACAACGCCGAATGCGGTCACCGGATCGAGGAGAAATGAAATAAACTCACACTTGGGCCTCACGTGTCCCGTCTGCTTGTTTACAACAAGTTTAATAAAGTTATTATAAAAAAGAAATAAAAAAATTATTGTTAGATTAAAGTAATTTGTTAAGTAAATAGTTACATAACATAGTTTACTTTCTCTGTTAACAGCCATTATCAGAAATCCGCAATAGATTCCTGGCCCAATTCAACGGAGACGCCCCCACACCCCCCTCTGAGCACCATGTCGCACCCAGAAAACTGCAGCTACAGGTTGGTTTTCTTATTTTACTTCAACTTTACCATATCAACCGAAGGTTGTTGAAAAAAAATACTGTAATAAATAGTTTATATTGGTTTTTCATTTCTCATGTACCTGTGATAAAATTAAAACCACCAAAGTAGTGGAGTAAAATTTGTAAAAAATGGAAATAAATAGATTACTGTTGGCACGTAGGTACTTTATTCGCAAAAAAAAATACTATAAAGAGGAGCTCGACAAGTGTTTTTTGTCAAGTCGACAAGTTTAGTATAAAAGTTAAGAATTCGAAGTAAAACCTAAATTCTAATTCGATAGCGTCTTGTTCTGTCTACTTAATTAGGCAACTTACATCAAGTGTGTAAAACTATACATTGGGCCTTCGAGCCGGTTTAGCATCATTGGGCCTTCGAGCCGGTTTAGCATCAATGTACCAATGAATATTATAAAGTTTTTAAAATTATAAATAGAATTCGTATGTTACATACATATATTATTTATACTAAATGACTAAACTGTTTACTCTGTTTAGGAGCAAGCAGAAACTCCACCAGCGAAAATGGCGAAGCTTTCAGAACACCAGGTAACAAATAACGTTATATCGACGTGTTCACTTAATATGGTTAGACGGTCTTTAATTTTCTGAGTATTGTAAAAACAATACCGAAATTTTTGAATCGATACTCTCAAAAAAAAAACCGGTCGGGTACGATTCGAATTCGTGCGCCGAGGGTTCCGTACCTACCCAGATTTTACGTAGATTTTCGCAAGAATTTCTAAGTACATAGTTCATCTTAATTTTCAACTTTTTTTTAAATTATTCCTTTATTTGTGCTGTAAGACGTTTCTTTTGCCAAATTTCAGGTCAACGGGAACTACCATATAGGTTTTCGACCCAAAACTTATAGGGTACTGCCGGTTGATCTAGAATTGTCAATTTTGATTAAAAGCAAAGTCTTAAGGCACAAGTTAAGAGAAAATTCTGAAAAATTAAGATAAACTTTGGTATTTACACGTTTTCGCGAAAATTGAATTAAGAACATTCATTGTTAAATAATGTCGCAGAGTCCAGGCAGCTTTACCGCGGCGGAGCCTGCAACAGGCGGATCGGTATCGAGCCAGCTCCCGGCGGCCGTGGACGCGCAGCTGCAGCGGCTGAACGCGGCGCTGACGGGCCGCCACAGCTCGCAGCGCACGCGCCGCGCCCGTGACTCGCTCACCCACGTCACTCCGCCAGGTCAACACTCTCTCACACACACGCACACATATATATATATAAACTAGCTTCCGCCCGCATCCTTGCCCGTCAGGATTTCGGTACCCGTGATCCTTTTTTGGAACGGTTTATATAGCATAAGATTTTTTGCGACCTCTTCAACAATAATTGTTACATTTTAATTCATTTAATAGTTCATTTTCAAGTTGACATAACACTAATTTTTTTAAAGACATAACAAATTTAATATCATAATAAAAACAAAAAATTTAGAATCATTTAATTCAACACCCCAACTCTAATTTTTACGTAAAACATCTAATTCGGAGGTTCAGACCGACAGTATTTTCACAGGAGACAATATTTTTACAAAATAATTTCGATTTTCCGATGTGTGACGTCCAGTGCCTTGTCAATTTTGTATTATACGTTATATTTTTTTCTCAGTATTGATAATTAAAGATGAGTATGTATTACTTGATGATTGACTAAAACCATTATTCCAGCGCCGGACTCTGAGCCAGCTCCAGAATCTCAACCGAACACTGTGGGATGGGACGACACTAGGCCCGCTCAGAACGTGGCAGTTGAACAACCACCAGAAACAATCAAGCGATTTATGCTCTCGTCTAATGTTGATGTGAGTTGCATTTGCATTAGTGATCTTTAATTTGTATAGAAAGGATTGTAGTATTGTTTAGAAAGGAGAACAACCACTTTAAAACATTATTTTAGTATTACCTTGCTAGTCACGATGTCGATTTTTTCGTATTATACTCTAAATATTTTTTGTGGTATAAGGGGGCCTGCAACTCAAGTGCGTTGTTGCCCTCGGAGTCCCTCCCTCTCGAGTCAGCGGGAGGGAGGATTTGGGCTCCGGTAACCTCACTCACTCAGTGAAAGGCAACGAAAGAATTGCTTAACACCGGTTTTCTGTGAGGCCGTGGTATCACTCCGGTAGAGCCGACTCATTCGTGCCGAAGCATGGGTCCAAGACAATACTCTCAATATTACGCGTAAAACAAATTCCCCCAATCGTTTTGCCCAAACTAGCTTGGGGTCGGCTTTAAGTCTATTACGATACGGCTGAACTTAGATTTTTTATGTGGAGCGGCTGCCATCAGATCTCCACAATCCATGTGGATCGATATCGAAGTTTAGTAGAAAGACTGTAATTTTTTTAAGCTATTGCATAGCTTCTATCGCGGGCCTTGAGCGTGGAGACAGAAATTCCATAACGAAAATAACCTAACACTCCGACCGGCACAGCGGTGATACTTTTTAGTTTTGCCATCTATCGATGAATAGCAGAACTTTTAATGACTTTTTTGAAATATCACGCTTGTCTCTTTAGTTCAGCAACTCGCCTCTAGGTGGCATTGGTTGTATCGGCGTTACTGCGCATGCGTAATCCCCCTCTTCGCCCCGCAATCTAATTAATATCAAAGAAAAAAAAAACAAAGTAAAAAAAATACTGCATAAATAAAATAAATAAATAATTATAATTGCATAAGTTGATAAAAAATGCTATGCAATAGCTTTACCGCGGCAGTCCCCGAGTGCCACACGTCTTTTTTTGTTACTGTATTACGTGTATAATAATAATAATATATAAAATTTAAGAATGTTCAACCCATACCAATTTGGTTGATGTCCTTTCTCTTTTGGGACGAAAGTGTGTAACAGGAAGTTGGGATACGCCCACTATTTGATTTGACCAATAAGCTAAACTTAGTTGTCAGATGGTAGGTTTGTTTGTTTTTCTTAACTGAAAGTATTAATTTGATTTCTCCAATATCTTTCTAATTTTCTTTAGGATTAGAATTTCGGTGGTAAAACTGTAAGAAACAAGCTAGAAGTATAGGTTGTCTGCCACAACAATAATCAATTCTGAATTGTAAAATTAAAATTGTGTTTGTGTATAAAAACCTCCTATTTAAAGAAAAAGGAACACATATTCAAACTAGGTTCATATAGAGCTTTTTTGGTTCGGTCAGAATCGTGATGACATCATAGCCAAGATCTCGGAGCTGGGCGGCGCGGTGTGCGAGGGCGCGGAGCTGGACCCCGAGGCCACGCACCTGCTGTGCGCGGCGCCGGGCCGCAGCGAGAAGATGCTCGGCTCCGTGGCCGCCGGCCGCTGGGTCCTGCACCCGCTCTACGTCCTCCACAGTCACGCGCACGGAGCTTTTCTACCGGTACACTCATTTTCATCTAAATACCTCAGTTCAAACGTTTCAATACGTTACTGTTGTAGTCGCTTGGCTCAGAGAAAAAATCTTCTTCAGGAAAGTGGTGTGTTGATTTTAGGAGATTTACATTATATTAAAATAATTGTAATACTGTCACAAAATCTGAATTGTCGTGAATATTTGACGAGAAGTTTTTTATTTTCTACCCGAGACGGCGTGCGGTTTTACTCGGTTCGAGTCCGACATGCCACCGACAGGTGGTATCAGAGGGGATTTCCGCACGGGAAAAAAGGTTGAAAAAATGTTACCATTATTTATCTTTTAGGTTGAAGTTTAAATTTTAGGTTTTTATATATAAAATTGTTAATAATGAAATATCTAATTCGATTATAAATAAAGGCCAAGTAATTTCGTGATATTAATTACACACTCATATTAATTTTCCTTGTTGAGATACTGTACTAATGATTTATGTTTAAAAAAATAATGTTTTCTGATACATTTACTGCATGATGTCGTGGTTGAATGGGAATCACTGGTAATTAATTTAGCTAAGGTCAAAATACTGCATGGCTGTAACAATGTTCTAAGATGTTATTTGAACCGATTACATAAAAGTCATACGTATTATAAAGGTTTTTTAATACTTTAAATGTTGTAGAAACTGAAAATTCTTTAATTATTTTTCTTTTTTAAATTGAAGTTGTTCTTTGGAGAGGTTGATTTTATTTTTTGTATTTTGTAATTGAGGGTTGTTATATTGTTTGATTTATTTATTTAAAACTTAATGCACACATTGTACAAAGGTGGACTTATTGTAATGGGGCATTTTTTCCTAATCAACCATGGTGATGTAGAAATATGATGCTGTAGGTGCAAAAATAAAATATTAAATTTAACATAATCGAACTTCAGAGATGTACACAATATCGTTTTTCAACATCATCAACAGCCATTACTAGTCCACTGCTTGACATAGGCCTCTCCTTAGAAAGGAGGGTTTGGTCTACTATACCACGGTGGCCAAACGGGTTGGTATAGGGTTTGTTTCAAGTATTCCTTCTCTTTGCAGTGCTGTTGTCCTGCGTAGTTTGTTCCTAGTCGCCTCTCACGGGATGAATAGGGGTGATGACATTCCGTATTCTTAATCCGTCACCACACGGGCAATATCGTTTTTACTGTATACGATTTCACTGGTATTTTTGAAATAAAAAGTTTTTTAAACAAAACGGGTACATCGTCGACAGGAGGAGCAGTTCGAGTGGGGCAACCCGTCGGCGACGTGCCTGCCGGCGCTGAGCGGCGCCGAGCGCACGCTGTCGCTGGCGGCGCACCGCTGGCGGGCGGCGCGCGCGGCGGGCGCGGGGGGGCCCTTCGCCGGCGTCGTGGCGCTGCTGCACGTGCCCGCGCCGCGCCGCCGCCTGCTCGCGCGCCTTGTCAGCGCCGGCGGGGGCCGAGCGCCTGACGTTGAGTTAGTATACTAGCTTTTTTACACTAAACGACTGAACTGAAAACTTAAACAATTACGTGTAATATGTTGTACGTGTATACGCACTATATGTTTTTATTATACATTGTTATATTATCTATGTATTTCAACCCAAACTCAACTCTCGTGTGAACGGGACCAATATATGTAAATACTGTATACAGAGGTGTCGGTAACGGTAACAGTGTCGCGAGTTTTTTTACCTTCTCAAAAATTCATTCTTTTGTTTGTTAATCAAAAACTTTTAAAGCTTTCACTTCTGTCGTCACTCCAGGAGTGCCATTATTTTTTTTTTAAATAACAAAAGAGACAAACAAACAGATAAACTACCTAATGGAAAGCGATTACCACCGCCCATGAACGCCTGCAACTCGGAAGTCACAGCGCGTTGCCAATTTTTAGGATATTTTCTTAAAGATCATATCGGTCCAGAAATACAACAGACAACGACTTGTTCCACATATTGGTTAGCAAGGCAAACGCACCATAGTGGAATGCCAAGTATCCAAGTAGTAAGGATGCTATGGCACCTATTCCCAATTCAGCATTTCAATTTTCGTCCGTCACTATTGATGATGATGAAAATAAACATTCCAGACCGCCGTACACGCAAGACGACATCACGGTGTGTTTCGCAGACCTGAAGCGCTACCCGCTGTCGGAGCGAGACGGCGCGTGGCTCTCGTCGCGCCGCATCCCTGTGTGCGCGCCCGTGCTGCTCAGCGCGTTCCTCACGGACGAGCCGCCGCCCGACCCCAAGGACCACTGCTTGCCGCAGTTCAGGCCTTAACCTGCACGGTTCGAGCCTCATCTACCTTTCATTCTTTCTCTATGTTTCAAATCGAGACGAAATTTTACTTCAAAGACATAGAACTCTTGAGTCATGTCGAAGAAACTACTGTCGGCTTAAAATATCTCGAGTATTGTCGAAATAAACACGTATCGGCCTAAACCTCCTTTCTAAGGAGAGGCCTATGTCCAGCAGTGGACAAATAAGGGCTGTTGATAATGATTAATAAAACATCGGCGTTCTGTGTTGTCGAAGTATAATCTTGTCGCAGAACGATTTGTCTATGGCTCGTTCAAATGACCGATTGGCAGATGGTCAACAAATCTAATCGGTCGAATTTGATCTTATTCGAAAATTAATATTTTCTCCCTTCAAGCCTTTTTTTTTTCAAATTAAGTTGAGGTCGGCATTAAGTGTACTACGATACGACTAAACTTAGTTTTTTTTACGCAAAGCGACTACCATCAGACCTCTATAATCCAAGTAGGTTTTAGGCGATATCGAAGTTTTGTAAATAAACTGTTGGACTTCTTCGTAACGATTGCTACAGATATTCGTCGCTTAACAAGCTTTCCTATATATAGACTAGGGGGTCTCAATCTATTAAGAATGGTCACCCATCCATAGACTGATCTCGCTAGGATTACTTAACTTTGCAATGTGTCAACTCGGTTGTTATTACCCCTGTAATTTATTCGCAAATTGATGTACGTCTAAATCAAAAGTCAAGATAAAAAAATTGTTTCCTGATTATCAACATAAAAAGTTATGAAAATAATTTCACAGACCTGCATTCAAGGATTATTTTGAACAAACAAATACTGGTGATTTTATTGTGTCAACACCGAACACTATATATGAACCTCGTTGTGCATAAACTATAGTAATCAATACTATAAAAAAAATTGTGTATTTATAATCTTTATGGAAACCCACCTTTATAATAATGTTTTCCACAATATAAATATAGATCATTTCAAACATTAACTGGCATTGTTGATTTAAATAGTTCAATCGTTTCAGCAAATCACAGGCCATATAATAGTCACCTAAACCTTTATATGATTAGATACTTTTTGGAACGAAGTTCCTTATCGCGCGTTGTGAAAGGAGGCTAGACGGAAAAAAAAATCACGAAAAGTTGTAACGACACTTTTTATTTTGAATTGTCACTTGTCAGTCATTCAGCACCATCTATCGAATAGATAGGAAATCATTACTTTTCATCTCAGTAAAATTAAAATTTATGTTCTTAGGTTGAGCAAAAAATATTGTATTCGACATCATTTCTCAAGGAGATTTTACCAATGTATAAATTGTTTTAATTAGAAACCAACTGAAAAATATGTAGGTAATAGCCGCTTTCATAGATGGCGTTGTAATTAAAATCGTGTCGAATCAGTTTTACTCAATCGTCACAACTTCGTTCCTATCGGGTGTCCCACGACACCACACGGCTTTTTTAATAATAATAATCATTTTTGTTGGAGTAACCATTTCTCATTGTTCGTTAGTAATACATAAAACTTATCCTATGTTAGTAGAGACGATTTACAACAGTTAATTTATGCCCTCCATGAGAGACGGCGCTGCAGTGACCCATGTACCTGCAATCTAATCTCTCTGTAATCATGGCTAGTATGCTGTTAGAGCTGGCCCGCACCCTGGCCACCAAAGATGCACACCGTTTTCGCATAGCATTGCCCCGGGGAAGCCCCACCAGCATCCTAAACGCATTGTATTGGATACGGAGGGAGTTGCATGCGTTTCAACTATAGGTAGCCCACAGGCTGCACGTATAGAAAGACAAAATTCATCAATCAGGAACATTTATAAGGAAGTTTTAAAGAATATAGAAATTTGGTTGGAAAACAACGCCATTTTCGTGATACCAGTAAGATATGAAAGATAAGACTGGAGCTTGTCCTCGATTAGCTATGTTATTATAACAGTTGAGCAGTAAATGTTTCATTAGTACTGTTATATTATTGAAATATATTACTGTATAATGTTTGAATATATATTTTGTATGTATAATGTTAATTTTAGCGATATTATCTGACAATAATACATTATTGATTATATAATATTTTGTTTTTATTGAGTACTAGCTGAGACCCGCGGTGTTTCCCGCGTTTGTTGTTATAACCGCGGGCAACGCCGCGGGGCGAAGCTAGCCTAAAAAATGTAGCCTAAGTTACTCCTTATGCCATCAGCTATCTTCCAGTGAAAGTAACGTCGAAATCGGTCCAGCCGTTCTAGAGATTACCAGGAACAAACAGACAGACAGACAGACAAAAATTGTAAAAAAAGTGTTATTTTGGCATATGTACCGTGTAAACATACATATGCATTTAGTAAAAAGCGGTTATTTTAATATTACAAACAGACACTCCAATTTTATTTATTTGTATAGATACACTACATTGTTGTAGAAATATTTGAACTTGCGATTTGTAGAAGTTATCGCTAAACTCTCATGTAGGTAATATGAAAAAAACGAATAAAGTGTTTCGACGAAATGCGCATGAGTCGCATATCATGTCTAACACGTCACCTGTCCGTGTGGTGACGTATTAAGAATACGGAGTATCACCACCCCTGTTTATCCCGTCGGTGTTGTAAGAGCCGACTAAAGGAATAAATTACGCAGGATAACAGCACTGCAAAGAGAAGGAAAACTTGAAAGAAACCCGATACCAAACCGTGTGGCCGGCGTGGCCAAATCCTCCTTTCTAAGGAGAGTCCTATGTCCAGGCTGTTGTATGATTTTGTTGAGTGCTATGTGCCAGTTGAGGCCAACTGTAGCACCGTGCGCTTATTGGTTAAATCAAATAGCGCTCGCCTCCCGCTTTCCTGCTAGACACATCCGTCCCTTTTCAAAGGTGACTTCAGGCAAGCGAGAGAGGACATGTTACACATAAATCTGTAAATATAAATAAATAAAATTAAAGTGTCTGTTTGTAATGTCAAAATTATAGTTTTTTTTCATGCTCACACTGTTATTTGCATAATACATATGCCTAAAAAACAGTTTATTTTTTTTTTCTGTCTGTCTGTTCCAGGTAATCTTCTAAACGGCTCGACCGATTTCGATAACATTTTACTACCAGGTAGCTGTCTACATAAGGAATAACGTATTCTATTTTTCTTTCCTTTAAAATTCCTTTAAAATCCTTTAAAATTTTGCCCGGTCCGGGCATCGAACCCACTAAGCTGCGCTTTTCAAATCCCACGCGAACGAAGTCGCGGGTACCAGCTAGTAATATATATAATTTACATTATGTTAATTGTAGACCAAAGCCAACTGAAAAAAAAATGACATAAATAGCCAAATTTGATATAGTGCAACAATTTCCTGAAATATTAATGGATGATATACAGGGTGTGATGTTATTGGCAATCGCTGGAACATGATTCATCCACTTTTTCTTATTTTAAATATAACAACATATATAGTTATAATCAGGATGACAAATAGACGTGTTATAACACGCTAATAGAAATAATTATCCCAATTAAAAGAAGCGAGAATTTGTTTAGAGATTTGTATAGATAGCACCTATGCTTCCAACAATCAACAAAGACAAAACCATTTGTCTATGTTGGGTTAGTTTATAAGCAATTGGAAGGACAGAGGCAAAGATACAGATATGCTGCACAAAGACCAAAAACTAACACTTGTTAGTACAGACTCAATTTGGTCAAGAAGTTATCAAGAGAGCTTTATAATATACTTATTTTATTTTATTATCGATCTAGATCTTTTCCTAAGCAGTAATAGAATCGTGCCATAAAAGGGAACTATTCATTTTCATAATACGTCATTGATTTATTAATGGCGAAACCAGCTAATGTCACCGAAGTTCATCGAAATCATCATCATCAGCCTATAACAGTCCACTGCTGGACATAGGCCTCTCCTTAGAAAGGAGGTTTTGGCCTACTATACCACGCTGGCCAAACGGGTTGGTATAGGGTTTGTTTCAAGTTTGCCTTCTCTTAGCAGTGCTGTCGTCCTGCGTAGTTTGCTCCCTTAGTCGGCTCTTACGACACCCACGGGATGAATAGGGGTGGTGACATGCCGTATTCTTGATCCGTCACCACACATGATATTGTAGAGATGTGACTGGCTGGGTACAGGTTAGATGAAAATGTGTGGAATCATGCTGTAAACTTTTATATTCCCTATGTACGGATGCGGACGGGCATCCGTGGTACACCAATCAGCACTCGCACGTGTAACACTGAAAGCCTATCTAAATTACAACCTAAGTACGTGTATCGAGCGGGCACCGTAGTGAACCGAGCAATACTCGTACGTAACCTACGCCTATGTACCTAAATCCCTAGATTCCCTAGCCCTACCAATATGTAACCCTGCGCTGAGGGTATATATACATATATAGATAGTGCGGGAAGTCTGTGTCCTGGAGACCTAGGGTAACAGACGGAGACGTGAAGGGAGGGGGGCTTAGGAGATGATTTTTTCACTGCCGGTCGAGCAGACTCACAAGACCGATCTACTGACGGCTAAAGGTGTCTTGGCCGCAGTGAGAGGTGGGCCCGGGTAATGAGTTAAAGTCAGATTAGACAAAATAATAATAATAATATTCTACCACATACACACAACGCCATCTAGTCCCAAACTAAGCAGAGCTTGTACTATGGGTACTAGACAACTGATATAAATACATATATACTTTTTTTTTCCAACCAAATCCAATCCAAACCAATTCAGACCAAATCAAACATCCAATGTACATGCACACAAATGTTTGACTTGAGCGGGAATCGAACCCGCGACCTTCGGAATAGCAGTCCGTTACACAAACCACTACGCCATTCGGTCGTCGAAAAAAAAAATTACTAAAAAAAAAAAAATTACTGCTTTATTTACATAATAATACATCTTATATACTAAACTTACTCTAAGTACACATGGATGGCTATTTGATTGTGTGCTATCCGTGTGTTGTGATGCTGTAGCTGCCTTAATCTCGGTCATGCCGAAATGTTGACAGTGCATCGACTTTACGCCGCACCACGTGTGACATAGATGCTGTTGCTGGGTGATGCAATTATGTTCATGATTGAACATCCTAAATATAAATATGTTTATACTGGGTGTCAGGGAAACGCCCTGGAAACGAAGACAGACGATAGTGCTAATAATAACTTTGATCTTGGGCCAGAAAAATCAATGCTGACGAAAAAAAAAAACATTATTACAGCGTCTTATTTCTTTTATTTACGCTTCATCATGTTAGAAAAGTTGAATTTAACTAATTAAATATCGCGGCATTTAAACGATATTTTTTCTGAACCATCATCAAAGGTGTTCAGGAGGATTTCTTAAATGTACTTATTATAAGTAATTTTAGTTTAAAATGTAAAAACTAGTAATGTAACACCTAGCGGTATTAAAAACTATTTTTGATAAAGTTATGAAACTTACTGAAAATATAATAAAGATTTTCCTTGGTGAAAGAATTTTTAAAATCGGTTTAGTGGTTTAGGAGTGACAGCGGCAGGGTAACAAACTCACTTTTACATTGACAATATACTAGCTGACCCGGCAAACGTTGTTTTGCCATATACATTATTTCAAATTTCTTGAAAAAAAAAGTGGTATGAAAAATAGATGTTGGCCGATTCTCAGACCTACCCGATTTTCGCACACAAAATTTCACGAAAATTGGTCGAGCCGTTTCGGTGGAGTTCAACCACGCCCACCGTGACACGAGAATTTTATATATTAGATTGGTGCTCTCTCTTTTATATCCTATGTGAAGTTCTTCACCATGAGCTTAATGCACCTGTTTTCATCAGGTGGATAGTCCAGGCCGGCTTCAGCTAGTTCCTTAAGTGTTACAGTAAGGGCGGTAGAGTACCCAGCGCGTTGTGCACTTTTCTGGGATGCTGGCCCCGTGAAAACTGTACTGGCTGCTGTTACACCGTGATAAAGGGCTAAAGGCTCTCTGAAACGGGGAAAATGATTGCTTTATAATAAACATAACATCAACAGTTTACAGTTTAAACAAATATCGTTCAGTCCAGTGGGTAAAGCAAAACAAAAAATACAGAGTCGTTTAAATTTGTATGAAACCGTATTCATACAATATTACAAAAGTAACTAAAATACGTCAATTCTTAGGTTATTTCATATATACTCGATCGTCACGGTGATTCGGCACTACGATTGGTCCGCACTAAAATCTCCACCGCTCGGCGTCGAGAGTGAGTCGATGTGAAATAAACTCGCACTAGGCCTTCTGAAGGCCAATTCTCGTAATAAAAGCGCGGTCATAAATCAACTCTCGATCTCACAACTGTCCAAAAAAATGAATTTTCGTAGTAATGTATTAAACATGCAACGTTGAGTGTAATGTGATGTATCAGATGATGTAATGGATGTAACCGGATGTAACGGATGTAACCGAAAATTGGATGTAACCGTGTAATATCGGATTGTAACCGAAAATTGAATCGGTAATCTGCTAGTCTTAGTAATACTTTATACAATTTTCTAGTAATACCTTTTATAACAGTTCTTTTATGGAGACCGAAAGCTGATCGGAACTAAATTGTGACCGAACTATTATTACAAGAATTCGCCTTCAGGTTTCACTGGCTGTGGTCAAAGGCAGCCTCTGTGGGTCCGAGTGCCCGTGATATTAGTGCAACATGGTACCGTCAGGTAATACAAAGGCGGCAGCCATGGGAGACCTATGCTTGGTAATACAAAGGCTGGCTTGAGCATTTTTGAGGTTGCTTTTTACCGAGTGAGTGAGCACACTAGTACACAGGCAATTCTTGTGTATCTTGAGTGACATAAGTCCGTGGGCGGTGGTAGTCACTTACCATCTGCTCGTTCGTACAAAGAAATACAGTAGCACTCCGGGAGTGCTACAGAAGTGAAGTGAAGTGATTATGAGAGGTTTTTTTTTTATTTTCGATTCGAAAAGTTCCGACATGAATATATATCGATGTTGTACGTATATACGCAGTATATGTTTATATTATATATAGTCATGTTATCTATATATTTCGACCCAAACTCAACTCTCGTGTAAACGGGGCCAATATATGTACATAGATACTTATATAAAGAGGTGTCGGTAACGGTAACAGTGTCGCGCGCTCAATGGTTTTTCCCATCTCAAAAAATACATTTTGTTTGTTGTTAAAAAATGCCCAACGCGTCTAAAGAAGTTTTGACTTCAAAAAGGATGCGGACCTATTATTTAATTACCATTCGTTTTACTATCCTTGTGGTGACGGATTAAGAATACGGCATGTCACCACTCTTATTCATCAAATGTGTGTCGTAAGAGCCGACTAAGGAAACAAACTATACAGGACAACAGCACTGCAAGAGAAGGAAAACGACAAAAACCCTATGGCAACCCGTCTCGCCAGCGTGGTATAGTAGGCCAAAACCTTTCTAAGGAGAGGCCTATGTCCAGCAGTGGACTATTATAGGCTGTTTATGTGATGTGATGCACAATTCGTAAATAATAATTTAAAAAAAAAGTATCAAAGTGTGTCTATGCTAATTTTACTATTTTAACATCTTCATAATGAAGAAATTAATAGTCTGTAAGATATCGCCGTGAGTATAAGACTATTGTAGATGTCCATTCATGTCTGTACAAAATATATACTGTAGCGGTGTACAATAAAAAGTTTAAATAAATAAAATAATTTACAAATAATACCTTGCAGTGAGTATCGTAGACCCCAATTTATGTCCACGATATTCTCTAGAGACAACCAAGCCTAGCCCGTACAGAAGCTTGTTGACGCCCAACAGTTTGAAGGTGTCCACTTTATCGCACACTTTCATCGCCTTGTACACGTTGTTCCAAGCTTTGCCTTTAATCTGTAATAATAAAATAGGATGAATGATCAATAGGAGTTGGAAATCAAATGTTCAATGAAAATCATTATTTTGAAGTTTGTGTGTACCCTTTAAAACAAAAAAAAGAATTTTCCAAATCGGTTGAGGCGTTCTCAAGTAATCGGTGAATATACATTTAAAAAAAAGAAACCGTCGAATTGAGAACTTCCTCCGATTTTGAAATCGGTTAATAAAAATTAAGAATTAATTTTGAAAAAGTATCACGTAATGTAATATTAATAAAATAAAAATATATTCCTAATTCCATAACTTTAAACCTAGATTATTTTATTAAATAGATTTATTGATTGAAAACCTAAAATAATAAAAATACTTAAAAAAAACTGTGACGTAGATAATTCTAGATAGAACTCTCATTACTCAGGTTATTATAATTAAGTAATTAAATACAATTCAGATCAAAGTGTATTTAATATGTCTAGGTGATTGGGACAACAGAGTGTGATCCACATATCTTAAGCCCTAGTGCGAGGGGCAAGATATGCCCATGGGCCCCGCCCGTTGGGCTGGAAGACACCACCTAGGTCTTGCACTCGAAGGCCGATGGGACTTCGGACATTTTTTTTCTGAGGTTTGGTCCTCAAGTTGGTTGGAGCAGCGCGTGCATTGGCGCGGCTGGTGCCCGATGACTCCTGCTGGAGACTCTACTCGGTAGATGTGCGGTCCATGGCCCTTTATGGGGCCTCAGTATGGGTGGAGGCCCTGAAGGCCAGCAACGTCGCACTACTGCGATGACTGCAGCAAGTGCTGCCTATCAGGGTCATAAATGGATACCACACGACCTCCTTTGAGGCCGCGAGTCTGTTTGCCGGAACTCCACTGTGGGACCTGGAGACGAAAGCCTTTGCGGCTCTGTACCAATGGCGGGAGTTGGGTCGGAGTCCTGAGAGTCGAGAAATCGAATACCAGAAATTACAACTACACCGGATCCTCGTAGAAGAGTGGAAGGACCACTTGGCCAACCGAGCGCCGGGCACGCTATTATCGCGGTGGTAAGATCCATTATGGAGGATTGGCTCGAGAGGCATCACGGGATCCTCTCATACCGTTTGACGCAGGTGATTACTGCCTGCGTCTGATCCGCAAGGAGCCAACGCCTGAGTGCCACTACTGCGATGGCCGGACCGTGGACACGGCGCTCCATACGCTGGCAGAATGCCTGGCGTGGGTGAAGCAGAGGCATGACCTCGTGACGAAATCTGATGTACTATTTATTGCGTGCTTGTTGTAAAAAATCATAATTATGGTGTGGTTTTAAAATTAAATAATCAAAACCGCACCTTAATAATGACACATTTTGCTTAGTATCGTTGGGTGGAATTTGGACACTAGTAAATGTCCTACTAGAAAAACCCACCCAACCATACTCCAAACTAAACACTTTCAATCGAGAAAAATACCCGTGTCATTTTCCAAATTTTAATTAACCACTTAATTGCAGCTTGCCAGTATTAACAGCTCCGAGCTATAGACAAGCGGACTAACAGACCGACATAGACAGACTGTAGGGTTCCATGTTAGGAATACAAAACCTTCACATTGGAGTACAAATGCCGCTGTGTTACATCATCATCATCAGCGTATCCCAGACCACTGCTGGACATAGGCCTCTGGCATATACAAGGCATGTGTTACATAATGCGTGATAATAGCAAAATAAGTATTTTGTACGTAGCAATCTACCGTATTAATATACTTGTTTATGTAAATACTCATAATCACACAACACTCACTTACCACAAAATCGGGGTCGTCTCCTTGGCACAAGATCACGCAAACATTTAACCCCACTAGTTTACTATTCCCATCTTTTTCCTCATAGCAGCCTATGGACGTTCGTTCGGCTAAACAGCCACGCCAGAATTCTGCTATACCGCTAACACTGGCAGGATCATTCATAAAATCTGGAAAAAAATTATTATCTATGATAGGTAACGGGTTTAAGCTGTACTTACACAAGATGAAATTTCGATCCCAAAAAATTCAAGACAATTTATGTGAAGAATTATTTCCTAAACTTGACGGGCTTGTTGATGCAATAATTAGCGATCCTGGTTATTCAAGATAAAATATATTTTGTGATAAACAAAAAAAAAGTATTTGTTTAAAATATGTAGGTACATGTAGCAGTCTAGTTATCGTAGTACAAGCTCTGACTATAGTTTCGAATCAGATGCCACACGGGCATCTGATTCGAAACTATACGAGAGACGTGTAAGGTTTGTGGAGGAGCGGGTGTTATATCCCTCCAATACAAAGGGAGGATCCTCCGGCCAGGCGAGGTGATCATGCCTGGCGGGCCGCGGCCCAACGGTTGATGTTGTATATATGCTAATCGGCCAGAGAATTCTTCATATCGCGATACAGGATTAGCAATTCTCATTCAGGAGTTACTTCGTAGTTCGTAGTTAGATGGCGCTGTAGTATGTTTATCTTTCTTTGTATGTGGTAGTCACCACAGGTTATTATTATTAATTGCATTGTAAATCCGGTACATAGTAAAAACAATTATTTTAATAATTACTACAGTGCTTGTACTATGTTTTACACTGTATCCGTGTGGTGACGGATTAAGAATAAAGAGTGTCATCACCGAATCACCGAGATCACCGGAGTCGTAAGCGACGGCTAAGGGAGAAAAATACGCAGAACAACAGCACTGCAAAGAGAAGGAAAACTTGACACAAACTCTATACCAACCCGTCTGGCCAGCATGGTATAGTAGACCAAAACCTCCTTACTAAGGAGAGGCCTATGTCCAGCAGTAGACTATTAAACGCTGTTGAGGTGATGTGATGATGTACTAGGTAAGATATTATTATTCAACTCAAAACAACTTCATCTTTGGATTATTTATGCCAGTTTAAACGTAATTAGATAAGATAAGGGTGTGTGCTTATAGAGTAACAAAATAAACTGTTAGTGTACGAGCATACAGTATGTTAATACATTAAAGTACATATTTAGGATTGACTGTGTACAGAAATTCCAACTGGATACTACATGTAAATGACGTCTGCAACAAGCTAAGACAACCAGTCCTAGTTAATTTTTTAAAGGTACAATGATAAATTGGAACACTATGCTCTTGCAGACTGAACATTTTTAACATAAAATATATTTATTAGAGAAATAATAATAATAACTTCACACATCTCACACACGGGAACACCCAAATACTCCGAAATATTTCCGGTATTTTGAGCATAGTTATTATAAACGTTAGGAATATTGAAATTGTTGACTTATAAAAATATTATAAATGATCAATCGGAGTTGTTATATTAGGAATTTGGAACCATTCGGAATTATGAAAATCGGTATTTTGAAATTCGTATTTGTGACTGACGGAAAAAAAACTCGTATTTGTGTAGTGTAACCCTCACACACGACAGTCTGATCCCAAAATATGCCTGTATAATGGTGACCAGACTACTGATAAGCATACTTGAATATTTCTAAATCCATACATAGAAAAAATTATACTCAGACAGAACAAATTATCGTGCTCATCACAGACTATTTGTCAAACTTGTTTATTGTTTGTATTGTTGTTTGTAAACCTATTATCTTATAAATGTTTACTTCAGAAGTAAGCTGGTGTTACAAACCACTCAGAGTGCACAGCACTTCATCTGGACACAGATGCTCCACTAAAATCCTGATAGCTTCTTCATCATCCTCCGGTCGAAGGTCGCGCATTACCCAGGTGACGCCGTCAGCTACCCACGAGTGCCATGTACGAGGGCAGGATGAATCCCAAACTCTTTTAAAACCCATTCTCTAAAAAGATATTTTTAACAGCATTACAATTCAAAACATCACTAACTAAATTATACAAGAAATAAAAGTTATGACGAGTTATTTAAAAAACGGTTTGTAGTAGTTGCTTTAAAAGTATATTTAATATCGCCCGGGAGTAATCCTTTATATCAGGATGAATACTACCATATCGTCTATCCACATTTAAATGTGCTGAAGTGGGCGAGAGCCATGGTTTATTGTACCACTTTTACAATTTACAAAACATTTTTTTATTTACTTTAATTAAAAGGGTTTTACCAATGACAATAATTAAAGACATAAATATACCACAAATATACACCAACATAAAAAAAACACAAATGAAAATAAAGATAAAATAGAGATCAAAACAAAAATCACCACTATATAACATTATATTCGGCCATAATTTCGGAAACAAATCAGTCGGGACTGGCACTAACCCATCTAGCCAGCGTGGTATAGTAGGCCAAACCCTCTTTTCTAAAGAGCGGCCTATGTACAGCAGTGGACTATTAAAGGCCGTTGATGACGATGATAAAAGACGTACTGTAAACTGGTTTTGTTATTGTGTGCTATATTATATATAATTTGGATATTGAATTAGAAATTAATATTGATCACGACCGGTCTCTTTCTCATGCGAAAACAGTTAAATTATTTCAGAAGTTAATTATTGTAAGACTTTTATAGAATAACAAATAGGTAATCGCTCTAACATTATTTGTAAGTAAATTAAATGCCAATCCATGACCTAAATAGATATCGTAACTCATGGACTTACGTTTATCTAAACTGGTATATTGCATTTGTTGTAGTTAGATCCAATAACTATGGACTGTTTGAATATTAAAAATAAAATGCAAGAAAAGAAGGAGAGGAAGAACAGGAAGGAGAATGGTGGAAAGGCGGATGACTTCTCGTCCAACGACGAGGAGTTTTTGCTTGAGACGCCTATCGCAGAACGGCTCCGCAATGCAGACTACGCAAAAATTGACAGGCCTGGAGATAAAATACTCTTCAATAGATGTTCTGAAGAATTAAATAACTTAATAAACCAATTGGACAATGACAATCTGCAATATTACTTAGCATCCTTATCTCCTGTAACAGTTATTTTTTAGTATATTTGTAATGCGTACGGTCTTGTTAAAAGCGACACCTATTGGCCGCGTCGCATTGTTGTTGATTTATCTAAAGTAGTTTATAACTACAGTATTGATCTTCTTCGTTCACTGTCGGACCACTAGATGGCGTTTTGTTTGTGGATAAGTCAGTATTGATTTGTCGTGACAAATTGTATAGGTATTGAGAGTGTTCTGTTATGGTAGGAAGCGAGTTACTTTTGAACTTGGTCGGGTTAATCCTCGTCGGTAATTTAAACGTCAAAGTAAAATGTTGAGTAGGGGTTAATTTCTGGAAGCTTCGGGAACCGAAGATATATATAAGTATATATATAAGTCCGGCTTTCAGCCACGGGAGACACTCTGCTATCTCGTGTCTTCCAATCTTAAATAGTGTTCTGATTGTTGTGTGATTTGATTTTCGTAATATATTATCTGTTCAAAAGTACCCACTAGAGTGGTGAGAATGGTCTTAATTTTCTTTTGTACCTATTTGTTTCTGGAACCTGATTAATTATATGAGTGCTAATCCATTCGTAGGGTCCCAGATTTCGGGGTCAAGACGGTCAGTCTCAGACGGCGTGCTTGCTCGTTTGTGGCCATCTGGTACAGACTCAAGTTTCTCGGTACCCTCTGGCAAGCTGGTGATTGCGCGGCTCACGACGCAAGCGGACAGCCGTACTCAAGGGTTACGTACTTACTTATAAACTTATAAATGCAAATTGTTGAACTTTTATCAATATCTAATATAAATAGCCGACTCGGGCGGAAGAGGAAGTAACCTCCTGGAGTGAAGACGAGGAGGCACCGAGCACCATCAGCTCGGCTCTGACGCGCTCCGCTGCGGTTTTTCTTATACCCTCTGCTTTTTTTTATTGTAACCTTAATTTTGTTTTTTCTTAATATACATGTATGTATGACTGAGGTGTAAGTTGTTTTTCTCTAAGGGGTCCCATGGGTATCCCACACGCACACACTTCTGTTTATTAAAAGGCGCCCTGAGGTAATCTTGTGAATCTCTCCACTGGGTCAGCCGGTGAGTAGTCCGCCTGATAAGAAAAGCGGCTACACTCCTTATTCGGCAACTAATTACTCGTAATGGAAATCAACTAAAAAAATGAAGAGACCTTTAACACAAACGCCACCTATGAGAAACAACACTGAATGGGCCAGATATGATCAAGGAAAAAGTCCAACCTTTTCAATACTTCTATAAGCACCACACAAACGCAGTGCCGGAATACGAAAATGGCTATACAAATATGTTTTCTCCTTAAAACCACTTTACCTAAAGAAATAATGCGGGAAAAAAAACGTCTCCAAGAGAGTAAAGCGCCACCATATGACATCATCGATGCACGCTCCTAAACACCTAGGACATAGGGTACTTATGGAACCAGGATATAGGGAACTTACGGGACTATGACACAGGGGACTTATGGGACTAGGACATAGGGGACTTATGGGACTAGGACAAAATTCTTAAGGCATAGACCTGAGCACTTTTCTGGACAGTGAAAAATAGCGAAGTAGTAATGAAACCACTTCGTACAGACCAATAAACCTACCACCAGTAGTTAGCAAACTCTTAGAAAATATACTACTTATGAGAATGAAGGAACATCTTAACAAAATTATGCCAAACTATCAATTTGGATGTCGAGAAAATCATTTTATAATCGAACAGGTGCATCGCACCGTTTACACTATTAGCAGATGTTTACACTGTACTGCGATATTCTTAGATATGCATTGTTTATTTTATTTGTAGTTTACCAACTATTGACATTGTCCGATGGTTATATTTTTACACGCTTTATATTAGCTTCACTTGTATGTTTGTTTGTAAAGGCCTCCTTTGGGTGTGATTTTGACTGACTTTAAACAGTCAGAATTCGTTCAAACTTTGTAGGTATATATAGGACCAATGACAATACACTAATTTAAAAAAAAGATTTAAAAAAATAGTTTTAAAAAACATGCCTTTTACAGATAACCAAACTAAAAAATGAAAAAATAAATTTTAATAAATTTGAAAAAAAAGCGTGGGGTGCTTTTTACTATTGACAACAGGCACCCGACGTTTTTTTTTCAAATTCTAAAATTTTCTAATTTTTAGTTTGGTTTTCTATAAAAATATACGTATTGTTTAGTTTTTTAAAACTATTATTTTTTTAGTAATTTTTTGCTAGAAATGAGTAAAAACATTGCGAAAAGCGTTTGTTAAATTTATGAGACTAATTTAAATAACAATAATAACCTCGGAACGTGCAATCAAAGGTCGCGTCCTTTCATATGCACGTGTATGCTTTTGCGCACGTGTACTGGCTGACGTTAACGTACCACCATCCCAAAATACGTACTATCTAAAAACACCGCATTTTGACGTTAGTAGAGTGCCCAGTGTGGACTTAAAATTCTTACCCTTTTGCATCCATGCTGGGCTTAGTCCTGTACTAACGTCAAATAGTTCCTGAAGGTCTTAAGTAATAAACTTTTGATGGTTATTGGCACACGCAGTAGTTCAGGGCGAGACAGTGATACAATTGTGCTGTTTCAAAAGAATCAACAGAATGGGAACCGAAGGGTCGGTATTCTCCCAGTATCAGCATCAGGTGCTAAATGATCTCGACATTTTATTTTGTCTTGTTTAAATAAGACGAAGTTGTGAAATATTGACTGACAACAAGTCATTATTGGGAACTATGTCTTGTTTTGATTTTCAACTGCAAGTTGTTATGGACAATGTTGAACAATGTAATATAAAGAATGTGATATGACTCATGAATAATAAATAAATAAATATCTCTCTCTCTTCGCCACCGTTCCAGGAGAATAAAATGATCATCCATACAAAATTTTAATGTTTTTGAAGTCCACTGAATATTTAAAGTCAACTTTGCATCTACCTAGTTTTTAGTTTTTATCTGTACAAATAAATAAAATTGAAGTGTCTGTTTGTAATGTCAAAATTATAGATTTTTTCATGCTCACACGGTTAGTTGCTCGATACCTATGCCTAAAAACCAGTTTTTTTTGTCTGTCTGTCTGTCTGTTTGTTCCTGGTAGTCTTCTAAACGGCTGTACCGATTTCGATAATATTTTACTACCAGGTGGCTGTCTACATAAGGAATAGCTTAGGCTATTTTTGTTCTCAGAAAAATCATTTAAAATTTTGTCCAGTCCGGGATTCGAACCCACTAAAGCAGCGCTTTTCAAATTCGCCGCGAACGAAGTTAGTTATTCATAAAAATAATATAGAATAATGGTATCTTATTCATCACTACAATAATGTGCAGTTATTATTACTGAAATAGTTTCTTCATTTAAGATCATTTGCAATAATGAACGCTCTTGTCATTTTGTTCTCATGAAAATCCTAAATGAAAAACTAACTAATAAAAAAGTAATTTATTTTATAATACAAATTAACTGGAATATAGTGGAAAGTGATATTGTTTAATAATTAATGTTGTCTATTAATCGTTGAATATTATTATACAGCATAAAACCCTACAAGCAACAGTATGAAAGGACGCGACCTTTGATTGCACGTGCCAAGGTTACTATTGTTATTTATATCGGTGTTTTAAATTTGATAAATACTTTGTTAACAGAAAAACCGTAATTAACTACTCAAAGTCTCCGGAAAGTAACTAAACAACTACAGAATTTTAGTTCTAAAATCTAATTATGTTTCCTTTTTTTTTTCTCTCTGCATCTATTGCTTAGCAAGTTAAAGTCAAAATATGGTTTTCCCTGATAAATCGTGTTTTTGCAGTTATTATTTTATTCTCCAAGGGGTATGATGTGTACAAGCACAGTAATACGTTAGCTATGGACCTGATATGACCTGATGGGGTGATTATGTCGGAGTCGAACCGACCAAAAACCGCACGCCGTCTCGGGTATCAGTAGCCGGGGAGCTAGAAAGGAAATCCCTGGTACCCCGACGTACCTCGGGCCATCCACGGTGTGTAGATGCCCACCTCCTGTGATGACCTCCTCCCAAATAAAAAAATCATATTAATTTATTATAATATAAATAAATAAATCATTTCCTCAAAAAACGTAATATATTTTCAAATTATAAGGAAATGATTTATTTATTTTAATAATTTTTTTTTTACGTTTTTATTTATAATTTTATGTTTTTAATAATTTATTATAATTATTTTTTTATATTAATAATTTATTATAAGAAAAATAAATAAATCATTTCTCGATGGCATCTCAATAGCGTGTCAGTGGTATAACACTGGCTTGGCGTGAACATAAAATAGCAGAATTGAGGCCCTGATAGAAAGCGACTACCGCCGCCCATGAACGCCTGCAACTCAAGCGAGTTACCTACCTTTGAGGAAGGAGTACGCTTTGTTTCGATGCCTTTGTCCAGTAAATTTTATATCGATATACACTTGTACTTTATAAGTAACATGTACTTTTAATTTGTTATTAAATCATGGTTATAAAACTATAATGTGTTGAAAATCAAAACAAGATGCACATACAACAGTTTGATTAAAAAAAGAAAGTGTACACACGTTGTGAGTATGATACTCGTAGAATACAAATGAACATTAGAATGATAAATTTGATGGTCGGAGGTCATGTAGGCCGAAGTTTATTTTGATCTTGAGGTTGAATCAAAACAACCGGATGCCATTAGTTATAAATAAACTACCGGCCTACTTACATTCTTTTCGACGTTTCTTTTGATGTAGGTAAGCAGTGATCGTGTTTAAAAAGCGGATTTGCGAACATGATTTGTTAATTTTTATAATAATAATGATAATAATTTATTAAACAAATTTGTCAGAGCCTGTACTATGGTAAATAGAAGTTTACATTATATGTAGGTAAATTACACTCAGGCGCATAATTAATTACTGAACTCATTACATAAATGTTTATCCCGGGTGGGAAACGAACGCACGACCTCTGACAAAGCAGTCAGGATCATTAATCCCCAGACCAAAGGGCCAGTTAAACTGTGTATTAAAAAATGTATATTTTAAATATTGTCAATGGTAGAATTAAATTAAAGAAATAAAAAAAATGGTAGAAACTAGTACATAATTATCTACGGGTTCGATTCCCGGACCTGGCAAAATTTTATAGGTTTTTTTCTGAGAGGAAAAATAGCCTAAGTTACTCATTAGATATATAGACAGCTAAACGGTACAGCCGCTTTGAAGATTACCCGGAACAAACAGACAGACAAAAATATTTAAACTGGTTTTTAGGCATAGGTATCGGGCAAAAACTTGCGTGCGCATGAAAAAAACCTATTATTTTACATTACAAACAGACAACTATTTTTTTTTTGTATAAGTATATTTGATTGACGTCATGTGTATGAGATTGACGGTTTTATAGCTTTGTGTAATTAAAGAGATATAATGGAGACCTGCGTGTCAAACATGCGCTAAATACGATAAAGAGCGGAAACCAGACAATTCTGGTTTAAAGTAATTGGTTTCGATCAAATTGAGTGATGTGTCATTTTTCTATTTTCAATTTTAAATAACAATAGGAAGACGCATTACAAACATCACAAAAATATCAGAAAATCTCTTTTTAACTTTCTACTGTCGTCTAAAGAAAAATCGCGTCATTCAAATAAAACGTTAATTTTAATAATAATAATATTTAATATTAAGTACAAATTAAGTACAAATTTAATAGAAAAACTTAAAAAGACTACTCGTTATTGTCCTTAAAATAACTCCAACAAATACTATAGATATTGTTATAACGAAATCTATACAAATAAATAAAATCGAAGTGTCTGTTTGTAATGTCAAAGTAATAGGTTTTTTTCATGCTCACACGGTTATTTGCACGTTACTATGCCTAAAAACCAGTTTAATTATTTTTGTCTGTTTGTTCCGGCTGGACCGATTTTGATAATATTTTACTACCAGGTAGCTGTCTATATAAGAAGTAACAAAGGCTATTTTTTCTTTTAAGAAAACCCTATAAAATTTTGACCGGTCCGGAAATCGAACCCACTACAGCAGCGCTTTTCAAATTCCATGCGAAAGCAGTCGCGGACATCAAATAGTCTATCCATATAAAATAACTAGGACTGACTGTCTGATTAGTCAAAGGAGAGCCCAAACCACTGGAGTTACAAACATGAAATATTGGCAAAAACAATTTTATGTTTTACTAGCTGAGACCCGCGGTGTTACCCGCGTTTGTTGTTCTAACCGCGGGCAACGCCGCGGGGCGAAGCTAGTCTAAAAAAAGTAGCCTAAGTTACTCCTTATGTCATCAGCTATCTGCCAGTGAAAGTCCCGTCGAAATCGGTCCAGCCGTTCCAGAGATTACCCGGAACAAACAGACAGACAGACAAAAATTGTAAAAAATGTTATTTTGGCATATGTACCGTGTAAACATACATATGCATTTAGTAACAAGCGGTTATTTTAATATTACAAACAGACACTCCAATTTTATTTATTTGTATAGATGATGTAAACATGTTAGTTCCCAAGTATAAGTCCCAAGTAGGTCAATATGGTTGTAAAGATAAGACACACGCGTATTTTGATGCTAAATAATATCAGTGTCAAATTATTGAAAGACCTAATCGAAGGCTAATTCATTCTCAGTATTAAAGTTCGTCCAAAATTCAGTACCATCTCACAAATGTAATGTGATTATAGCGTATTATGACCAAAGTTGAATCGGCAATCTCCTAGTCTTAGTAATACTTTTATATTTTCTACGAAAACACTATTTCTGACATTTGTGATATCGAGAGTTGATCGGAACTGAACTTTTATAACGATAATTAGCCTTTTAACAAGAAGGACCTGCCAAAATATTGCAACAAACTCATAAACACATTAGTTATTTCCAAGCACGTGTTAATGGCTAAATGTAACCTATAAAATATTAAATCAATTTGTAAAGCTGTTGGTCTTCCAAGATCAAATAAATACTAATACTACTAATGTGGTGTCAGTGTGGAGTAATTATTTATACTATTATTATGATAGGACTATACTACAGAACATCTTTAAATGCAATATTTATAGGCCCGCTGCCGCTGCCAACTAACGGGACAGATGTAGGGCGCGACTGTCGCTGGGCCCCCGCATTCTAAACCTCTGATATCTTCTAAAATAATCATTTTAATTATATACTATTGAGAGGAATTTTCATCTACATTTAATATTCAACATATCTAACGTATTTAATTGGATAAGGAATAATAATGTATTCTTTAAAATAGTTTCTTAGACCACTTTAAATGCATCACTGTCTCTAATTAATTTCGATGATGTTCTGTATGTTTTGTATATTATTATAGATATTGCATTGTATAATTTCAGATGAAACTGTCCCTTACCATGCCGTGGCAACTTGTAAGTAAGACAACACTCACCGCATATTTGTAAAACATGTTTGTAAACTATGTATTAGTGTATGTTTTGTAAGTTGTCATAAATAAATAAATAAACTTACTTGGTTATAGAAAAATATGTAGCTGTATGCACGTCCACGTCCGCTCCCTGTAGTTCACTAGTATATAATCAACGATGATAACTGATTCGCTTTCGGATCGTCAAGAACAAATAGTCTTAGAGGTGGAAATGTTTTGTTAGGAGCTTACTGGAGACATAGCGAAAGATTGTACGGTTTTTTTTTTGGTAATGACAAAATACACCATTGCAGATCTGGTTGAAGTACGGCGTTTTATTCCTTATGTATTTTTTAAAATTTTATGTTTTCATCAAATATTGTAGATATTTAGAAAAATGAATATTTTATTTATACAAGTACAAGTTATAAAAGTAATAATGTAACAATCATTTATGGGTAAGTTACACATGTGAAAAAAAATATCACCTAGATACAAAAAAAAAATTAAAACAAATACGCTACATATTATACTGTTATAAATGATATTATTCAAAATTAAATAATTTTAATGTTATGATGGAAATGTTTTGTTAGTTAATTTAGCCCTAAATGTTATGTTACTCATTTTAGCCCTACCCTACTGGCTAACGGGGTAATATATCCTTGTTGTGACTACTTATGACTGTCCAATTATTTTAAAGCAGGAAGGTTATTTTATTAAACAAGGTGGTAATTATGTTGTTCGAAAACTCACTCAACTAAAAATCACTAAAAATTAGTTTTGTCCTGTCAAACAACGTTTCCTGTTCTGTAAATGCAGTATTTGCCAGGACTAAACTAATTTTTAGTGCTTTTTAGTTTAGTGAGTTTTCGAACAACAGAATTAGCACCAATATCTTATTAACTTTGTTGAAATATTCATGTAGGAAGACATGATATTTCAACAAAGTTATCTCAATTATCCTAGTAGCATTAAATACTTGTAAAGAGTATACAAACATAAAAACACCAAATTTGAATTAAGTGGTTGTCAGCTTTTCTACTATAGACTGCATTGACAAAAACAATGGAATAACATATCATCGTCATCATCACGTCAGCCTATGCTTGTCCACTGCTGGACATAGGCCGCTCCCAATGATTTCCAGCGGGGACGGTTGATTGCACAATAACATATCACCTGTTTTATAATTTAGTTGTACTAACATGTTCGAATATAAATAAGATTATTATTTATTCACAAATATGGTTTAAACTTTTCCGTATTTTTTCACCATGAGTTTTATACTCCTTTTTTCGTCCTTTGGATAGTCCAGCCTTCAGCTAGGTCTTTCAATGTAATAATGAGCGCTGTTGAGAACCCGACACTTGCTACAGCTTTTTGAGAGATGAAAACAGGTGAAAATTGTAATTTTAGCTGTTATACAGTGGTGAAGTGGTAGAGATTCTCTGAAAAACAAGAGCATTGCTTTGTGGTGGACAATTTTTAAAATGCACAGAACAGTACAGCAGTTGGTATTCTCTACGGATTGTAGCTTTGTGTACAGCGCTGCCACAGCGTAAATTTTTTATTCATTATTTTGTAAATTTGTTATTCATTAAATTTTAAAAATTACACTAGCGCTCAAGGCTGTGACGGACGTGAGTAGAACTACTCGACGGAGAGTAAACTAACATTAATTCATACGTTTTGGTGTTCTCTTAGACAAAAACAGCCTCGCTAACAACATTACTATAAGCCATCAAATATAAAAATTCAGTTAATTTTAGAAATAATCCTTAGAGAATAGCACCTAAAGCTATACTGGCTATTTGGATTGCTCAGAATGCTATAACAGATGTGACTACTAGAAAAAAAAACATGATCTTAATCTTTCTACTTCCCTAATTTTTTACTAATCACTCGCACTAATCATTTGCGGTCCACAAGTGTTAGTCCTATTGACTAAATACCTGCATTAATCACCTTTTTTTTTTTTTTTTTTTTTTTCCGTGCGGAAATCCCCTCGGATACCACCTGTCGGTGGCATGTCGGACACGAACCGACTAAAACCGCACGCCGTCGCCGGGTACTAATAGCCGGGGAACCAGGTATACCCTAGAAAGGAAGTCCCTGATGTGCATTAATCACCTGCACTCACACTAATCAAAGAGGAACCCAGCCTCAAAACAAAATGACAACCTCTATTTCTATTTTATTTAATTGAAGTAAAGTCTTACCTTGCAGCCAGTATTTTACCAGCTGGTCCTACTCCACGATACTCTCTACGAACGACCAAGCCGAATGCGTGTAGGAGCTTGTCAACCCCCAATAATTGACTGCACGGATGGCGTAGTGGTTTAAGCGGGCGCCACGCCGCGCCGCTTCCTACTACACTGAGTGTTGTGGGTTCAAACCCCACATGGGACGACACTTTGTGTGATCCACTAATTGTTGTTCTGAGTCTGAGTGTTCTTTGTGTCCTTTTCATGTATGTTTGTAAAGTCCCCCGCGCAACAGGATATATTCCTAATGCGGGAGTTGTCTTTTTAAAGAAAAAGAAAAGAAATTGAGAATTTCTTTGGTTTGAATAATCAAAGTAATATGAAATAGATTCATTATTTGAATGAAATTGGAATGAAAACATTAAAAATCAATAAAGACTATGTCTTAACTAACTAATAATTAGTTAAAGTTATATGAATGCGATAAAAAAGTACCGACATTTCATCAACAGCCTTTAATAGTTCACTGCTGGACATAGCCTCTCCTTAGAAAAGAGGTTTTGGCCTACTATACCACGCTGGCCAGACGGGTTGGTATAGGGTTTGTGTCAAGTTTTCCTTCTCTCTGCAGTGCTGTTGTTCTGCGTAGTTTTTTCCCTTATTCAGCTCTTACGACACCCACGGGATGAATAGGGGTGGTGACATTCTGTATTCTTAATCCGTCATCACACGGATCAGACGGACCGACATTTGGATACGTATAAAAATTTCATCATGCCGTCTCATGGTATTCCTATTGTTTTCTTCTAGACTTATTTTGCATTCGTAGTATCGTATTAAATTTCTGGCGTCGAAAGCTTCGTGAAAGAATGTCCCTCGGCTGTTATGAAGAAGAAGACAGAGTGTGTAAGCTGGTAGCACTAATTCATATTTTTTTTCCTTAAAAAGACAAGCATTAGGAATATATCTTTTACTTTGCAAACATACATGAAACAGTCACAAAGAATACCCAGACTCAGAACAACAAGTTGACCCCAACAATGTGGGGTTTGAACCTACAACACTCGACGTAGTAGGAAGCGGCGTGGCGACCGCTTAAATCACTACGTTATCCGTACATTCACTTCATGTGCTTAATGCCATGGAAACCCAGACTGTTAAGTTACTAACTGCTTAATGCATTGAGATGCTCATCCGGGCATAGATGCTCTAACAGAATCTGTAACGCTTCTTCATCGTCCTCCACCCAGGTAACACCGTCGGCTTTCCAAGTGTCCCACACGTGAGGGCAGGATGTGTCCCAAACTCTTTTGAACACCATAACTAAAACAAATGAAATAATCATGTGATTTATTTTAAACTAGCTGTACCCCGCCACGTTTCGTACGCTGCGGTACATTGTGATTGCATTGATGAGAAATGTGGAACATAACTGACACGAAAAATAAATAAAAATCTTTGAAGCGGGTTGCATTTCTATTAAAATTAAAAGACTATTAAAATTTGAGCTCAATCCAAGTTAACATTTATCTAAATTAGGTAAATTACAAACCGACTCGGTCAAAAACGAGAATTAAAAATGTGAATGAAATTTTTAATACTTAAAATCAATTTCAAACGCGCGGTCTGTCCCTTTCATTCATCCTCTCCCTTAGAATAACGGGTTTGGGTTCCGATGACTTCACTCACTCGGTGAAAAGGAACGAAACAAGTGAGTCGTGAGCCCAAGCATGGTTCTTCCATGGTTTACATTCTTGTTATCAGAGATACAGAAGAGGACAGAGGACCTTGCATTTCAGAACTTGAAGAACTGATTCTAATTTTATATGAGCCAATCCCGGAGCAGCCACTAGTCACTTATGCATACAATCATATAACTACATTTGAAATAAGTCTTCTTTCTATTCTTTCTTCGAGCCTTTTTCCCAAACCAGGTTGGGGTCGGGTTTATATCTACTACGGCTAAACTTCGATTTTTGCCATTAGACCGCCACAAACCAAGTACTACACAATAACTTTTACTTTGCTTTTTAGTGGCCAACAACGCGTAACGATTGCAACAGATATTCTTAAGGCAACCGGAACCGACGGTTCTCCGACGAGGGGTTTCAATATGTTAAGAAATGGTCACCCATCTATAGAGTGACCTTTATAATTGTATAACTTTGTAACGTACTAATCTACTTACCACTTAGCCACAAGCTCCTCAAACATTAAAAACAAATATCCTTATTTACATGAGCAGTTAACAACTTAGTGGTCACATGAAGCGATAAGGCTTTGCAAATGATTCTATCTACTTACAAATAATGCTTTACCTAATTAGCTATCTATGACTTTTATCTTGATACTATGTTTATACAAACTCTATAACTTATAATCCTATTAAATACAATTGGAATTACACGTGTATATAGTTTTCATATTTATTTAAGAAGATAGTGCCTGTTATAAACTACACCGCAACATACAACCCAATAAAAATTCAAGCAAAGCATTACACAAGCTATTTAATAAAAAACACAAAACACCTGCCTGCGCGAAAATGTAAAATTAAACCGGTGATTTTAATTTTCAAAAAGCCACTATCACTCTTAGAATAATGACAAAACTCCAGAAATGCCAAATAAATCAGCCGTTTAGACTACTAGATAATATACATATATACATTCGAAAAACGCTACCCTCTTGCCGATAAAAAGGGCCCTTAATTCGAAACTAGTCGGGTACCCTCAAAATACACTAGTAAATAAACTACATATTTTTAATATTTTACAACCTATTCCCCACTGTCTCCTGCGTTCAATGTTACTGCTTTGTACATTAGGATCGTAGCGAGATTTCACATCTATATTTATATTATAAATTATAAACTAGCTGAGACCCGCGGTGTTATCCGCGTTTGTTGTTATAACCGCGGGCAACGCCGCGGGGCGAAGCTAGTCTAAAAAAAGTAGCCTAAGTTACTCCTTCTCTTCTTAGCGTGTCCTCCTTATGTCCAGCCATTTCAGAGATTACCCGGTACAAACAGACAGACAGACAAAAATTGTAAAAAATGTTATTTTGGCATATGTACCGTGTAAACATACATATGCATTTAGTAAAAAGCGGTTATTTTAATATTACAAACAGACACTCCAATTTTATTTATTTGTATAGATGTGAAAGTGAGTTAGTTTGTTTGCTTTTTGTTTGTTTATTACGCTTTCACGCCTAAACTACTGAACCAATTTTTTCAATGCATTCACCAATGAATAGCTACATTATCAGCGAGTAACATAGGCTATCTTTAACCGACATACACGTGCAAAATCTAGTACCCTACAACCTTCCTTAATAAATAACCTATCTAATTTTTTTTGTCGCATTCGTAGTTCTAGAGCAGCACGTTTAAACAAGTTAAAGTTTAGAAGGATCCGACTTTCCGGCAACAGCTACGTCCAAAACATGCTCGAGCTATTGATTGCTTACATTCAAAAATAAAAATAATAAAAAATAATAATATTGTACAGTCACACAACGCCATCTAGTCCCAAACTAAGCAGAGCTTGTACTATGGGTACTAGAAAACTGATATAAATACATTTTTTTTTATAAATACATACATATTATACATAAAAACACCCGGACCAAATCAAACAATAAATGTTCATGCACACAAATGTTTGACTTGAGCGGGAATCGAACCCGCGACCTTTGGAATAGCAATCCGTTACATAAACCACTACTCCATCCGGTCGTCCAAAAATAACTTTGTGGCCCCATCGGCCATCGTTCTACAGTTCACAAAATTCTCGAGTTACAACAGCGTACTGAAAAACGTATCGTGGTTAGGCCCCCAAAAGGTGGTCCAACTAACTGGTGGAAGCCGTAGGAAGTCGTTGCATGCGGACAGCACAAGATTGGTTGTTGTGGCGAACCTTGGAGGAGGCCTATGCCCAGCAGTGGCTGACTTTCGGCTGAGATGGTGTTGATGATTCGCGTGTGCGTGGGTTCATCTTCATCATCATCAACAACTGCTGGACATACGAAACCCGCGGGTGGTGACACTTCGTATTTTTAATTCTTCACCATACGTACGTGTGGGTTAATTGTTGTTGTATGTGAAGTAGAAGAGTACTTTGTGGATTTCTTTGCTTTTGCATTACACATAATATAACACAGTAATATAGTACTAAATAGATAACAAAAGATATATTCCTCTATTAGTACAAGATTAATAGAATACAAAGTGTTAAGTAGGTATTTTATATAATTTACTAGCGATTCGCTCCGGTTTCGCACGGGAAACCAAGTAAATTTATATTTCCATGACATTTGGACGAATTAGTTATTTTTCTACTTAAATAAAAGTTTGAAATTAATTTTAATTTTTCCTTATGTTCAATATTACAGATTCAAGGGCAAATTACAAATTTCTTCAAAATTTTTCCAGGGTAATTCTGAAGCTGAAGTAAACCAACGCTGTGCTATCAACCGTTCACGTAGGAGAGAGATCATCATACAGCTGCAACGTCTCTTACGTGATCTTACATAATCAGTTGCCGTGCGCCTTGCATTCGCAATGACTATTAATAAATCCCAAGGCTAATCGTTAGAAGCGTGTGGGATAAACCTTAAATTGGCGTGTTTTTTTCATAGACAGTTGTGTTATTTGACAAAACAGAGATTGTTGCTTTTGTGTGTGTTGATCTATGACTTTAGAGTCTACATGGAAGACGATTTCAAACAATTTTGGAAATTTTATGAAATAAAGAAAGTTTGAGTTGAGTTTGAGTTTGTACGTTGCGTGCTCGAGAGTCGACAACTATCGGCGCTATTTGTTTCCTCTCCAGAAGGAAAAACGAAAAATATTGTACATTACAGTAGGCTAGGGTCGAATAATTTTTTAATTATGGTTTTATTTCATTACATGGTCGTATTGTGAACGGACTGTTTTTGTTTTATTTTTGTCATTAAGGCATTCTCTACTAGTCTACCATTTATACGGCAAATAATAATGGGCAACCCAAAATTTCTTTACATAAAAAGAAAACAACTGGTTTCTCGTATCCCAAATTTAAAGTTCTTTACTTTTTCTAGAATTCCTTTTAGGTAAACAATTTTTTTAAAAAGGTTGAAGTGACGAAAAGAAAGAGTATATTGAGATGGCTTGGGCACGAAAAGTTAAGAAGAGTATTCTTTATTTTTAAGTGCAATTCTTTCCTTTCCAGAATGTAGAAAAGAATGAATTCCAGAATGTATATTGCACTTCAGACAAACACACAATATACATATGTGGTCAGATTGGATGTGGATATGGCTCAAAGGTTTTATGATAGTAGTATATATAGGGATAGATATATGTGTCGGCTGTGGTGTTCTAAGGTAGGGTAGGTAGGTAGGTAGGGTAGGCACCACAAAGGAAGACAGGCGTTGATTTATGCCTGTAGGTAACTAAAGTCAATTTGACGTCTGCCGTCCTGTATGGTTCTGAAAGTAGGCCCATTAAGAGAACGGATGAGAGACGGTTTAAGGTAGTCGCAATGCGAATGCGAGGTATGGGAGTTGAAAGTACTTAAAAGGCCCAAGAGAAGAGGAAGACCAAAGAAAGGGTGGAAGGACTGTGTGTGTATGAGTTTATGATGATTTGGAATGGAGTAAATAGTGAAGCGACGAATGATAGAGTAGAATGGAACTATCATGCATACTGTGCCGACCACAATAAAAAATTGGGATGAGGGTAAGCAGATGTTAAGGCAACTAATTTAATTTCCAACTAAAACAATCGCACAAGGCGTCGTCTGTCTTCTTATTTCTACTTGGTTTAGTCATACTTTAAGAATTACTGCTTCTGTAGGTCAAAATATTCTTATTAACTCCAATAGAATGGTCTGTTGGATTCTTAGCTTAGCATGGAGCGCTACTGGATGATGTCTTAAATGTCTTAAAGTAGTATATATAGGGATAGATATATGTGTCGGCTGTGGTGTTCTAAGGTAGGGTAGGTAGGTAGGTAGGGTAGGCACCACAAAGGAAGACAGGCGTTGATTTATGCCTGTAGGTAACTAAAGTCAATTTGACGTCTGCCGTCCTGTATGGTTCTGAAAGTAGGCCCATTAAGAGAACGGATGAGAGACGGTTTAAGGTAGTCGCAATGCGAATGCGAGGTATGGGAGTTGAAAGTACTTAAAAGGCCCAAGAGAAGAGGAAGACCAAAGAAAGGGTGGAAGGACTGTGTGTGTATGAGTTTATGATGATTTGGAATGGAGTAAATAGTGAAGCGACGAATGATAGAGTAGAATGGAACTATCATGCATACTGTGCCGACCACAATAAAAAATTGGGATGAGGGTAAGCAGATGTTAAGGCAACTAATTTAATTTCCAACTAAAACAATCGCACAAGGCGTCGTCTGTCTTCTTATTTCTACTTGGTTTAGTCATACTTTAAGAATTACTGCTTCTGTAGGTCAAAATATTCTTATTAACTCCAATAGAATGGTCTGTTGGATTCTTAGCTTAGCATGGAGCGCTACTGGATGATGTCTTAAATGTCTTAAAGTAGTATATATAGGGATAGATATATGTGTCGGCTGTGGTGTTCTAAGGTAGGGTAGGTAGGTAGGTAGGGTAGGCACCACAAAGGAAGACAGGCGTTGATTTATGCCTGTAGGTAACTAAAGTCAATTTGACGTCTGCCGTCCTGTATGGTTCTGAAAGTAGGCCCATTAAGAGAACGGATGAGAGACGGTTTAAGGTAGTCGCAATGCGAATGCGAGGTATGGGAGTTGAAAGTACTTAAAAGGCCCAAGAGAAGAGGAAGACCAAAGAAAGGGTGGAAGGACTGTGTGTGTATGAGTTTATGATGATTTGGAATGGAGTAAATAGTGAAGCGACGAATGATAGAGTAGAATGGAACTATCATGCATACTGTGCCGACCACAATAAAAAATTGGGATGAGGGTAAGCAGATGTTAAGGCAACTAATTTAATTTCCAACTAAAACAATCGCACAAGGCGTCGTCTGTCTTCTTATTTCTACTTGGTTTAGTCATACTTTAAGAATTACTGCTTCTGTAGGTCAAAATATTCTTATTAACTCCAATAGAATGGTCTGTTGGATTCTTAGCTTAGCATGGAGCGCTACTGGATGATGTCTTAAATGTCTTAAAGTAGTATATATAGGGATAGATATATGTGTCGGCTGTGGTGTTCTAAGGTAGGGTAGGTAGGTAGGTAGGGTAGGCACCACAAAGGAAGACAGGCGTTGATTTATGCCTGTAGGTAACTAAAGTCAATTTGACGTCTGCCGTCCTGTATGGTTCTGAAAGTAGGCCCATTAAGAGAACGGATGAGAGACGGTTTAAGGTAGTCGCAATGCGAATGCGAGGTATGGGAGTTGAAAGTACTTAAAAGGCCCAAGAGAAGAGGAAGACCAAAGAAAGGGTGGAAGGACTGTGTGTGTATGAGTTTATGATGATTTGGAATGGAGTAAATAGTGAAGCGACGAATGATAGAGTAGAATGGAACTATCATGCATACTGTGCCGACCCCAATAAAAAATTGGAATGAGGGTAAGCAGATGTTAAGGCAACTAAAGTCAATTTAATTTCCAACTAAAACAATCGCACAAGGCGTCGTTTGTCTTCTTATTTCTACTTGGTTTAGTCATACTTTAAGAATTACTGCTTCTGTAGGTCTCGTTTCAAAATATTCTTATTAACTCCAATAGAATGGTCTGTTGGATTCTTAGCTTAGCATGGAGCGCTACTGCATGATGTCTTAAATCTCACGTATTTACTTATTTAAGGAGGTAAAATATCATAAGTGACGAGTTCCCTTGATATCCGGTTACCAGCAAATTACCTAGCGATTCCTCTCTAGTAAATACACACCAACGTCCAGTGACTACACGAATAAAACTGATATAACGTTTTATCAATATCTACACTAATCGAACGGTAATTTATGCTTGACTGTCGTTCAGTTAAAACAATCAATGTTGTTAAGACTACATTGAATACTATCGGATGATAATATAGATTTGACGTTCACTATTTAATAAAAATAATTATCTTTAAAAAATTATCATTGACTTTAATGCCCCTATAATAGTCCACTGCTGGGCATAGGCTTCTTAGAAAGGAGGTTTTGGCCTACTATACCACGCTGGCCAGACTGGTTGGTATAGGGTTTGTGTCAAGTTTTCCTGTTCTTTGCAGTGCTGTTTGTCCTGTGAAGTCTGCTCCCCTAGGCCGGCTCTTACAACACCCACGGGATGATTAGGGGTGGTGACACTGTCTGTAGATGGCCCAAAGGTATGTCGGGGCATCAGGGACTACCTTTCTAGGGTATACCTGGTTCCCCGGCTATTAGTACCCGAGACGGCGTGCGGTTTTAGTCGGTTCGAGTCCGACATGACACGGTGGTATCCGAGGAGATTTCCGCACGGCAAAAAAAAAAGGGGTGGTGACACTCCGTATTCTCAACCTGTTACCACCTACATAATTAAAAAAAAAACCTTGCTCTTATTTCTTTAATATTTACGTTTAGGGTTTGTATTTTTTTCTTCAAATTTGAATACGACTTAACAATAACGAGACGTTTAACCATAGAGTAATACGTACTACAGAAAGTCGAAACTGATTGACAGAGTCGTAGTGTATGAAATAAATAAGGTAAACATTTAAGCATTATGAAGAATTAACTATTCACCGTGGCTCGAACGAGAAAATAATGCTCAATTCTTACTACCATTAAAGTTTTAGGAGCTAGAAAATAAAGAAGTAATTTTTTTTCAATTTTTTCTAGTTACATCTAGTGAATAAACTTGGAAGTTTTTTTAATAGCAAGCGGCAGTTTATTATAGTTCGGCATGACTAACACAGATGGCGTGGATCAATACGGGCTTGAAGATGAACGTAATCTCTGTTTCTATGCCTAATTTATAATCAGGTACAGTGATTATAAATTTCGTATAACAATTGAAGTGTGTTAGTATTTGATATGTTATGCCATATGGTTTGTGTGCGCTTAGTACTGGTTTTCGTATTAAAATTTTCATTCACATTGTTAATTCTCTTTTTTTGATCGAGTCAGATGTAATTTATCTAATCTTTATATATGTAAAAATGTTAAGTTGGTTTGCGTACGCTTCAAAGACTCGAAAAGCTCTGCACCGATTGAGCTCAAATTTTGACACGATATACAACCAAACAATTATTTTTCTTGTCAGTTTTATTCGTCATTTCTCATCAATGCAACCGCAACAAAACGTAGACGGGTACAGCTAGTTTTTTAAACCCCGACGCAAAAAATGAGAAAGAAAATGTGTGCTCGCACTTCTCTCTCTTGCCTCCAAAAGTAATATAAGAAACGTAACTCTCTCTCTTTCTATCTTCTCTAACTTATAACTCACTCTCAACATCACCCTCCTCCCACCCCCGATCACACTTTTCGTAACGCTCTCGTCACGCATTCACCAGCTTACTCCCAAGTCAAGTGTGTATACGTTAAAACTCGAAATAGACTGAAAGCCGACCTAACCTAAGTTGGAAAAAAGACTTGAAAGCATTTTTATATTTGCATAGAAGTTGCCTTACTGTCGCCTAATACTTTTTTGTTTTCTGTACCTATTACTTTACTTACTCAACTAATAACCTTTTAAATAAACTTAGGCTAGGTACTAATTCGATAATAAAGGTACGAACGGACGAGGCTAAATACTACAAGGGAACCGACCTAGTTACAAGCTTTTAAGTAGAATCGAGAGCCCGCGTTGTACTACATATTTCTAATGAAAATATTTAACAAAATGAACAAATATTTGGCAAATTAAACTTTTCTTTCACTTCATTAGTTTCACTTTACATGTGTGTATATAAAGTAACTAGTTTTAGCTCGCAGCTCTGCTCGTGGGTATATCAGTAATCGCGGTAAAAAGTAGCCTATGACCTTTATTAAGAATCAAACTATCTCTGTACCAAATTTCATCTAAATCGGTGAAGCGGTTATTGTAGTAACGGATTAGGAATACTTAATGTCACTACCCCAATTCATCCCGTGGGTGTCGTAAGAGGCGACTAAGGGCGCAAAACAACGCAGGACACCAGCACTGCAAAAAGAAGGTAAACTTGACACAAACCCCACACCAACCCGTCTGGCCAGCGTGGGATAGAAGGCCAAAACCTAGGCCTATGTCCACCAGTGGACTATTAAGGGCTGTTGATGTGATGTAATGTTGGTTATAGATTCCTCATGATTTCTGGGATAAAAAGTATCCTATGTCCTTTCCCGGGACGGTAAATCGGTTCAGCAACAGACAGTATGAGTATGGATAAGGTTGATCCTTTTGGCGCATTAGAACTTACTTCAATTATTTTTCAAAATTCATCCATGATTTGCCTTGGCAGATAAGGATACATACGACCACCTTACGGACTAGAAGAAGAACAATATTCTTTTCATCATTATTTGTTACTTCGCAGTAGATTCCCAAGATCTTGTGATTTTAATAGAATACACTAGTTGTGATATGCACCACTAGTGTATTATCTATTTATACTTGGGAGTTTACGAAACATTATCACCGATCACAACAGAATTTCTCACTGAATACCTCGCTCGCAACAGGATACCAGTGTTTGTTAACTTAGCACCGCTTATTTGAGCCGGTGATTCCCACACCGATCAGATAGGTCTTCGTTAGTTTACATGGAAACTTTGTGGGCACAAGTGTTACAATGATAATTATATCCCGAATGTTTTTTTTCATCAGCCTTATAAATTGTAAGTAAAAAGTATATTAATTATTATAAGTTACTTTTATGAAACGCTTTAACGCGGCAACAGTGTAATGAGTCGCAATAAGGGGTAGTATTTTAATTCAAACATAAAATGGGAGCAAACAAGAAGTGTACCTTTCTAACTAAAGAAATTTGCAACTCTGTTCATAAAAATGACGGAGTTCTAAGACAAAAAAAATACAATCGAACTGAAAACCGCCGTGTTTTTTATGAAAACGATTAAAATTTAAAAAGCAAGCATTGAAACATCCATATTCCGGTTATTTTAAGTGGCGATTTTGAGTCATAGGTGGTACATATTGAAATAGTCGTGTCGCTTACACGGACTCATTTATTTTTTTACAGAGCAGGAATATATATTTTCATGAATATATTCATGTAGTTGTCCGTGTGGTGACGGATTGTCACCACCCCCAGTCATCCCGTGGGGGTTGTAAGAGCCGACTAAGGAAACAAACAACGCAGGACTGCAAGAGAAGAAAACCTTGAAACAAACCCTAACCCAACGTATATATACATATGTTCTATCACTAATTCTAATACAAACGTGGTACAGTGGTTCCTACAACGCCATCCGAAAGGGCCTCCTACTGCGCTGAGGGTTATGGGGTCGATCCCCATATGGGACAACACTTGTTGAGATCCACAAATTGTCGGGGTGTTCTTTGTGTCCGTTTCATGTATGTTTATAAAGTTCCCTGCGGCACATGATACATTCCTAGTGCGGGAGTTGTTTTTTTCTTTTATAATGATTTTATAAATTTTAAGTCCAACGCAGTTTTACTACCGCAAAAGTTGCAAGATCCAATTGTTACTTAACTTGTTAATAAAATCACACTTTTATATTTCTTCTATCTGCAACGAAGTTATAAAAACCAAAAATGTCCTGAATGACTCCGAGAAATGGATAGTACGACTCTTTATTTTTTCCTCAATTTGGCGGTTAGATAAACTTTTCGTTTTCCTTATGTTTATTTTTCTTTTCAGATACATCCAGTCAATTTATAACAGTCGGGTCACCCAATAATCGCAAGCCTGGAAAATCTACATGTGAAAATTCAAGCAAGAGTGCTTTAGTAGAGCATTTCTTTAATATCATATTCAACGAGTTTCACACCGCACCGCCCGTGTGTGTTTGCGTTCAAATGTGTCCTGACCAGCCAACATATTGCTACCCTAATGGGTGCTTGAAAAAAGCTGAGCCGAGTAAAAAGGTTGAAGTACCAGTAACGCGTTTTAGTGAAAACACGAAGCCTATTTTCTTTTTAGAGGAAAAGAATGACTTCATGCATGATCTTCTAAATAAAAATTACAATGACGAAAATAAGGCAGTTCCTGAATTGGGTAGGTGCAATTATTTTGTGTGTTTGTTTGATGTTGATCTGTAGTAATTTTGATCAAAAGCTGCGTTTTTACGACGAGTGTAAATGTACATAGTAGTCAAATGAATATGAAAATGTATTTGTAATTTTATTATTACTATAAGTTTATTTAGCTTACTGTAAGTTCATTCATCAGTAGGACTGAATGTTTATATTAAGTGTATAATTGTTATAAGATGTGTAGCAGTTTCGTTTAGGAAGGAAGGGAAGGAATCTGGAAGAAATATTTTATTACAATGCCGAAGTTTAGGATTGTGTCTAACTGATGACAATTCGGTATTTAATATAAGCTGGCGAATTACAGCTTTCAGATACTTCAAGTACTTGTAGCATGTTAATATTTATAGTCTTTTGTAGTTTGCATCGCGAATTCTCGGTTAAAGCTTTTAACGCATCATTTTGTTAATAATTTACAATTTTTTTTTAGGTGTATCAAAACAAGCTAATGTCATGCCAATAAATCATCGACCAGACCCATTTAAAGACAGATACAAGATTCTATTAAAATACAAAAAAATGCCAAAAGTGGAATTGAAGTACAACCTAGGCGAACAAGTAAAAAACGTAAAGTCAGATGTTCTAAAGAAAGACAACGTAGATATTTCCAAAACAAGATGGCCGCTGAATAAAATTAGTTCAAGTCGTATCAGTCGACCTCGACTGTATTCAGAAAATCAAGGAAATGACGATTCAAAGTTTTTTAAGACCTCATATTCTGAAAAAGAAGTTCCAGTTTATCCACCAAAGTATTTCAAGAGAGAATTGATTAATGGCACAAATAATAATACGAATGGAATAGATATAAATGTAGAACCAATATCAGGAAAAAGTGAATTTGATAACTACTCTTATTCCTTAGAAAAACTAATAGATAGTTTAATTGAAAGTAGTTTTAAGCCCAATGAAACTGTTATCCAAGTCGATTCAAAAGTTTTTCAAGAAAGTAATAAACAAGTCATAAAAGAAGCTGAAATCAGTACAACTGAACAAATTTTAGAAACTACAGAAACTGCTACCACCGAAGAAGTAACGACAGAAGTACCGATAACTGAAACTACTCAAATCAATGACAATACCAATGTTATATCAATGAATTTGACAAATGAAAATATTGATAAAAACAAATACATTGAAACTGATGCTACAAATAGTACAGATAATATTAATGAAATGATTGCATCTTTATCTAAGAAGATAGAACTTCAAAATAATACAAGTTTGGAAATAATGAGGCGAATGACAGGAAACTTTGAGTTTCATTCAATTTTTGATAAGAATATAGGAAATTCTACAATGAAAGACAATATTGAAGTAATAACTAAAGAAAATAAGAAAATGCCAGACAATTTTAGTACAAGAACAAGAACAATAAAGAAAGGTAGACAAAGATTAGTTAGAAAACTCCAGAATAGCAAAAAAATTGTTGCTAAATAGTATTATTTAAAGAATTTGATATCAAACGTTGATTGTATAGTATATGTAACATATTTATAGTATGTGTGCAGAAACAGTAAAAATAATAAAATTACTCAAAAAGGGTAAAATAATTTTAGTTTTAGTATTTATTTAAGGACTTGCTTCAGTAGTAAATGAAAAACAAGAACGAAACAATAGCCAAAAGGGTAGTTAATATCGACTCCGGTCTTATCGAGGCTTTACTCTTCCTTAATCCAATGCATGGTATAGTATATCCCCTTTCCATAAGCATTACATATTTGATTTCGATCGATCGAGTCGGTTCAATTCTTACCTATCGATTATTACTACTATAAGGACACAAATAAATGCACATAAATGTATCCGAAATGTTTTAGAACGTACAAATTTTAATCTAAAATTAATGTTGTCGCCATTTAACACGAAATTAATTTTGCTCTAAAGAACCACAGTTTGAAATACTCATAATAAACGCCATTGTCCAAAATTCATTCACCTCGGATTGTCTTAAATTATACGCAATGAAAATTGTAATTTTGCCGGACTATGCTGGTGGAATACCCAGAAAGGGTTGAATGTTCAGTATAATGGTGGTAAGCATCTGTGTCCATTTCATGAAATGTGTCGAACACGCCTGCGTTTGGCCACTGTTTCTCAATATTTTTACATGCGTTATTCTGTAAGAGGACCCATACCTGTATTTTTTTATGCTGCGTAAAAGGGTGGTATAGTGGTGCACTAAAAAGAACGGTATAAACGCAGCCGCTAGTGCCTGCCGATCCTCACGTGTGTGTCCATCAATGCCAGATTAAAGCGTTATTAAATACACATGACGGTTTCGCTACCGTAACATGGGCACATATGGGTAAAATTTATTTACTGTTTATTACTTTTCTCGAAAACAATATTTTTATTTTTGTTACGTTTCGTTACTACAAAAGTGTAATATAACGCACATCTAAAGTTAGAAGTGTGGCTCTGCATGAGATTTGATAAGTTTTCGTCTTGGCAACATTTTACATAAAAATATCTTTGGTGGGAATATTTTTTTAAGTACTTTGTTTTTAATAACTCACAATGCAACCACAATGTTCTACAGTGAAGCATGGCAAGGTACAGCTAGTATAATATATAACTCTTCATCGCGAGTATCTATGTTGTATGTATATACACAATATATGTTTATATTATATATAGTTATATAACCAATGTATTTTAACTCAAACTACTTAGATACTTATATACAGAGGTGTTGGTAACGGTAACAGTGTCGCGATTTTAATGGTTTTTTCCCAAATTAAAAAATACATTCTTGTGCTTGTTGTTCAAAACGCCCATTGCGCCTGTAGAAGTTTTCACTTCAAATAGCCTTTATTTCTTTTTAGGCTTCTGAGCGAGAACGAACGAACGAAATGAACGTTTATACTGTAAATATACACATATTCAATTCAATTCGTTTATTACATTCAATAATGTATACACAGGTCTTATAAATGTAGAAAGAAATAATTATGGACCCTGTCGGGCACTGCAACATTAGGAGAGAAAAGCAAACATTCTATCATTCACTAAAAATATTGCAATGTATTTTATTAAATAGTACTAAGTGGGTATTTATTTTATTGCTTACATATTAATATTTGCAGTATAAACGTTAGCTACTTATATGTATAACATGTATACATATAAGTTTGCGTGAATACTATAAACTATGTCCTCATGTAAGAAAACATGAAGCTATAGCTAAGTTCTGAGCCAAGTAGATAAAAATAACTTGCATCGTCAAGCTAGATCAGATTGCCATAGTCTGTACCTAGTGTCTTTATACTCAGTGATGAAATTCTATAAAAAGCTTTGAGCTGTACGTAAGTAAGGTTTAAATCTTTGAGAACCAGAGTAAATAGCCTCGATTAACGCTATTATGACGAAATAAAAGGAGGTTATTAACTGTAATAAGCTTTCATAGGGCTGTGTAAGATTATTAGCTGAATATAGTGGTCCATTACGTCAGAGGTCCATCTTGCCTTGATTGTATTACGGATTATTTTGGTGATATGACCAGGGATTAAGGGGTTACTTCTTATTTAATTTCATAATTAATTGGCTTTTGATCGATGTTTTGCTTGAGTTTTTTATTGTCTCATGGGTCACATTTCATTTTTCTAAAGAAGATATTATATTTAAATCTTACATTTGGAAATGACGATGATCAGATTCCCAACTAGGTTCAGGCCGTTCAAAAAGAGCATTCAAATAGCTAAAGGAACCCAATAAATATAAATACACACAGGCTAAGTTGTTTTTTTTTTGCCATGATTAGTAGAGAAAGTTAGTTCAAAGTCCACGGTCAAAGCAATTCGACATTAGTCCACTGTTCCTTCTACTAATCGAAGCAACAGTGGACCACAAATTTACTTACTTAATTAAAAAAAGGTTAAGATTTACCATCTATCATCCCTATCTTCAGATTACTATTATTATTATATCATTGTTATTATCTTTAATATTTTCAAACTTACTCGCGACATATATGGCAAGACTCACCATAGATGGCAGGGCGATCTGCGATAGCTAAGGCTCATGAGCAGTTTACCAGATTCTATATTCACCAGATTTTTAACTAACCAGAAGTACAATTATTAAAAACAAATTAAATTAAAAATGTATGTTTTCAAGTCACAACAGAAATCAAAAGTAAAAAAATGATTATTCGCTTTTATAATCTCCAGTTTTATATTTAGTCATATGGGATTTCCTTTTTCACTTATAATAAATTTAAATTTCAATTCCAGCCATGTTAAAGTCATACACATATTACTTTTAGAAAATAATTCAATACAATTATTAAAATTATCATGGTGATACAAAATTTCCGTTTGAGACTCCAAAATCTGGTTAGTTGAGAATCTGCTGAGTTTCGAATCTGATGAATTGAGAATCTCGTAAATTGCTCATAATCCAAAGCTAAAAGTACTTAAAGAAACGCTACTCGGTTCGATTGCTATGCGTCGCCTGCGGTATTTTCGCATCGATATGACCTTCAAACCTTTAAGCGTTTGTGACTGAATTGCCGGCGTTCATAGTCAGCGATAGTCACTTTCTATCAGGTGATACATCTGCTCGTTTGCTTCCCTATATCATAAATAAATACCTTATCAGCCATGTTTCATAACCTAGCAAGTGGAGCAGCGATGGAGTCCATTGGAATTTAGTAAGCGGCTAATAATACCTATGTAGCGAGGAAATAATATGGAGATGCACATTGGACGGCTTTGCAGTACATCATCACCATCACATCACATCAACAGCCCTTATTAGACCACTGCTAGACATAGGTCTCTCCTAAGAAAGGAGGTTTTGCTGCATTGATACTATAAGTACTCGTAAAAGCTCGTCCAGTCTCAGCAGTTATGGTAATGTCATCGTTCCACATGGCAAAATTTTCATCCTCATTACCTGGATATTTGGCGATCCACTAGTGTGAGTTTTTCGAGACACTTTTTGCCCCGCACAACCGATCTGTTGAACGGGTTATCGTCTGCGGTATTTCCGGACCGATACGACCTTCAAACCTTTAATAAAAGAGCGTACTCCTTCCTAAAAGGCCGGTAACGCGTTTGTGACTCCTGAGTTGCAGACGTCCATGGGCCATGGTCACTTTCCATCAGGTAACCTGTCTGCTCGTCTGCCCCCTCTACATAAAGGTGTATAGTAAAACATATAGGTGTACTTTTCAGACACCACATACCTCATAAAGGCGAGTAAGATAGAATTTTCAGGCGATAAGTAGCTGCAGCAGAAATGGAGATAATTGCGCGGTTCGTGGTTGACTTTTTTTAACCATTCCTTGACTAATAATAATCGTTTTGAGCTTTTAGAAAGAGTTCCTCTATTGATCACAAAATCTTTAAATAATGCAAGCCTGGTAGAAACTTCATTGAGCTCACACTATGGTGACTTTACTCAGGTCTGTGTTAATCAATCATTCTCTTGACGTTGCAGTCGAACGCCTGACCGCGGCGCCAAATAGGTCATCATAAAACCGTATCTTTTAATAGTCCAGTAGATTTATAGTTTGGTCATGACTATGTAATAAATATTGGAACATGCTATGTAGCCTGTTTGAAAATATAAACTATCATCTTGCGTTTGCTGCTAACAGTGTAAATCATACAATATTAGGAATCCCTAGTATTGTATGATTTGTGTGTTCTGTGGTTGAAATTCGACCGCCGGGGAATCCCCCAGCGATCGAATTTCAACAATTTAAATGTCTTCTTTTAATTTATTGACCAGTATGACTTGAACTGTCATTGTTAGACTTTTCTACCATAACAGATCAAAGTATATTTAGCTTTTGATGATTTTGAACTTTATAGCATACTGTCAAGAACTGTTATCTTTGTGCACCTTTTCTATATACTACATATCAGCCTCAAAGTATAATTTCTGGGATAAAAACTATCCTATGTCATTGTCGGGACTCAAACTATCTCTAAACCAAATTTATAAATCATTTCAGCTGTTTAAGCGTAAAGAGGTAACAAACAGACAGACAAACACACTTTCGCATTTATTATATTAGTATGGACTAGTAGGATCTCCTAAATTTGTTATCAAAACTTAAAAGCTTTGGTCCTCACTTATACTCGTAGTTATTTATCCGTAACCTCTTTTAGCATCCTAAACCTTTTATGCTAAATTATGTTTACTATCACAGAATAAACAGAGAGCAGGCAAGTTCGAGTCGGACCGAGGATTCCGTACAATCTTGTATCTAGGTATTACGTCCATCTTGCTCTATCTTTCAAATCGATTCTTGACTTGAGTTTTTTCATTTAGCGTTCTAAAATTATTCAAATTCATTTTTTTTTTATTTGTACCATTCGTTTATTTATTGGACCACCCTATATATCAATTTCGAATTTCCAATTTCAAATTTTCTACTAGCAAAATATAAGTTTGCAATCACTCAAATCAATTTTTCATTTCTAATT